TGTAAAGCAGATTAAATTACTTCTCCTAAAATCCAATTCAAATGTAGCCCTTGCCGCTAACTCATCCAGTTTATTATTTAGTGACCGCACATTTAACAGGGCTTCCCAGCCTCAGTAGTCTGTTCCTAACACAACCTCTTGAGCCTCGCTTCGTCTTAGTTTCCCTTTTTGACTTTGTAGAACAACCATCAGGCAAGGAAATGTTGTTTTTGAGAGTGTGAGCTTTATCTCGGAAAGAGAGCAGAAAGTGATTGTAAAATGTTCTGCATATTACAGCGATTAGGATTAAGAAGGTCACACGCCACGTCCAATCCACTTTCAAATTTGCGACGCACTTGGATTGAGACAAAACGAAACAAAATTGAACGATACAACCAGGGGCGCAACTTTGGTTTTAGAAGTGGGGGGACATAATTTTTTTAATCCAGTCTGATAAACACTCAAAACAGCCTACCCGACCACTTGGAGGCATCCGCATGGTCATAAAGCACACCGTTGCCTCGTTTTGTATCACATTCCAATGATAAAACTGGGGGGGACAAAAATGCTATTTCAGAATATGGGGGGGGGGGGACTTTGGATAGCCTATTTCTGAGGGTAGTTGAGAGAATGCCAAGAGTGTGCAAAGCTGTCATCAAGGCAAAGGGTGGCTATTTGAAGAATCTCAAATGTAAAATATATTTTGATTTGTTTAACACTTTTTTGCTTACTACATGATTCCATATGTGTTATTTCATAGTTTTGATGTCCTCACTATTATTCTACAATGTAGAATATAGTAAAAATAAAGAAAAACCCTTGAATGAGTTGGTGTGTCCAAACTTTTGACTGGTACTGTATATATATATATATATATATATATATATATATATATATATATATATATATATATATATATATATACATTTGTGACATCAATATATAATTTGTACATTTCTTTATTAGTTATTTGTTACATTTGACTGTGTAAAACCTAGCAGTACTACTTATTTCTCTGAGAGTGAGGCGGATGGATATACTATATAGCATTTAGCAAAAAAGCATGATTATTTGTCTATCTGAAATGAAACCATCAATTGATAGATTTTAAACAAATACAGTGCCTTCAGAAAGTATTCCCACCCCTTGACTTTGGGATAAATCAAGGGGTATGAATTCTTTCTGAAGGCACTGTATAGGGGACAGATTGGAATGGCAGCAAGTCTTACTGTAAATGGATACTTCGGGATTTTGGCAATGAAGCCCTTTGTCTATTTCCCCAGAGTTAGATGAACTAGCGTTAGCACAATAGCTGTTACCATTGACGTCCTAGTCTCGCGTTGCCATACCTCCAAAATCACATCGTTCTCACTCCTCCCTTGGAAGTCTGGGCGAATTTTGTATTGCAAAAATGGTTTGAATGGTCCGCTGGACCAATGGAACATCCAATCAAGATTTTGATTGGATGTTACATTTCAAGAACCCTGCCCCCACATGCCTGTAGAAGGGGTGCTGTGTGTTATGTTCGTCACTGTTTTCCGTCCAGGTAGTTGTTGCGTATGCTAGTTTCAAGTGCTAGTTTTCAAGTTATCAGGTGTGGCCGACAGTCTGTGATTTATATTTATTGAAAATGAAAGTGGATTACGCTGGTAAAGTCAAACGTCACAACATGTTCTAAACCGCTCTGATGACAAACACTTTTTTCCTTGTCTCCATTCGTTCACATGGCTGCTGGCTGCGCTTTGCAACCCCTGATAATATCGTGAAGATTGCCCATTATTTTGTTTTTGTAAGGACCCAAAAATCGGAGGCAGTGGGAAAACCTATTCAAGTAAATAAATATTTTTTTTAAATGTTAAAAAACAATATATAATTAGCTAGTTAGATAGCTGTAGGCCAGTAAGCCACTTTGTTGGCTAACTAAACTGAGCGGCTAGCTAGCTAGATAACTGTACACACTATTTAGCTAAGTTAATTAAATGTCATCAGCTTCACTCTTAGAAAAGGGGTTCCAAAAGGGTTCTTCAGCTGTCCCCATAGGAGAACCCTTTTTGATGTGGAACCATCTGTGGAAAGGGTTCTTCATGGAACCAAAAAGGGTTTTTCAAAGGGTACTTCTATGGGGACAGCCGTTTTAGGTTCTATACACTCTTAGAAAAAAAGGTGATAACTTCCTATCTCAATGTATGGCCTTTCTTTTGCATTTCAAAGATGATGCAAAAAATAAATGAAACGCATGTTTTTTTGTTTGTTATATATTTTACCAGATCTTTGTGTTATATTTTCCTACATTAATTTCACATCTCCACAAACTTCAAAGTGTTTCCTTTCAAATAGTATCAAGAATATGCATATCCTTGCTTCAGGTCCTGAGCTACAGGCAGTTAGATTTGGGTATGTCATTTTAGGCAGAAATTGAGATGAAGGGTCCTATCCAGAAGAGGTTATTGAGGTACAGTATTAAAATAAGGAGAATTAGGCTAAAGGAGATGAGCATTACAGGTGACATTTTATGAGGTTCATTTTATTTTATTTTATTTATTATAGCAATGTTTCTAGCAAAATGATTGCAGTTTCCATAGATAGACAGTACATGGCTGCTCTATGTATCACTGACTCTGGATAAGCTAGCGTGGCTAACTCAGCTAACCTTTTAGGTCAAATATATGCTGTTTTTTATTAACATTTTGTTGGCTTTATAATTGTGAGAGAAAGTGAACTAGCTAGTAGCTAGCTAGTTAATTATACCTAGGTAGCGTACAAGGTTAGCTGACTTTTCTGAAAATGAACCTCATTGTGGCTAGCTACTTGTCCCTCATGCTAGCCTTTACAGCCAAATATCACTTCAGAAACATCAAATTAAAAATATTGATATGGCCAGCTTTGTAGACAATTTCTCCCCTCTTGCTGCATTTTTAGCTCATCTTGAAATAACAGAGAAATGCTCTGAAAACCAGCGTGCTGCAAACGTTCTAAAATGTTTTGTCACCCGTGCTTGTTTTGTTGACATTTTTAGTCCTCAGTGTTGCTCCTACGGCACTAATCTGGTGAGAAACCTTGGAGCGCCGCCCAAGCAAGGCACTTCATTGGTTTGACGTGTTGCGAGGCGTCACTGAATTACACCAGTTTCCAACTCCTCTTTAGCTGATTTCTGCCATGGAACTTCCCTAGGCTTCACATTTTAGGGAAGCCAAGTTCGCAACGAGTCTATAGACGTCCAGTCATTGTGCTAACGCTAGTTAGCATTGGCTCGCAAAACAAAAAATGGTATCCATAACTTAATCTGGCTCCGGGGAAGTAGATTTTTTTAAAATCCAGAAGTATCCCTTTAAACCTTAAATGGTTGAGCATTTTGCCATGTCCTTTTGGTCTACGTTTCCCTGTTTGACCGCTAGGTTTTATGGGTATTATGACACCTCCAGTGTGGGGCTCTATTGAGGAATGTATTGACCCTGAGGGTAGGGCTTGGTTTGAGTGGTTTCAGTCAAGATAAGAGACAGTTTCTTGTTAGTGGTTTCAGTTAAGATAAGAGACAGTTTCTTGGAAACACTGTCCTGCCCTGTATGCAAGTGCAAAGTCAATAAGTGTTGAACGCTCAAACATTAACTCAAACATGAGACATCACGTACTTCAAATGTCCACATATTCAATGTAATCAAATTTGTGAGTAGTTGTGAGGGCTCTAACATTACATTTCAGCCTACCACATGAGGAAGAAAGATGACAAATTGTACAGTGCATCAGAGCTTGGGAGGAGGAGAGAGAGTGTGAGTTTATTAGGGATACGTGAAAGTGAGGTAGGGAGGGAAAGAGAGAGAGAGCGAAAGAGAGAGGGTGAGTGAGAGAGACAGAGAGAGTGCGTGAGTGAGAGTCAATGAGAGCACAAGAGAAAGGCGGAGAACGCTTATACTCTGGTCAGTGTAAGATCTTACGAACATTTCTAAGATAACGCATATCTTTCTAGTTTGACCTAGGGGTCAGGGAGAAGAGATCACAGAGAAGAAACTTCTGTGACGGTAAGTCCAGTTGTTTTGACCATGTTGGACCGTGGAGGATCAAGTGGAAAACTCCTGTCGTCATCTCATGTTTTAATAGAAGAATTCAGGGGCTTTCTCTGTTAATGGTTGACTTCTAGTCAGTCACTGCTCCTATTTGTCTTTCATGGTTATTTCAAAGGCAGCATTATCTGTTCAATACGTTAGGCAAAATGCTCTCATGTTAACATCTTTATAATAGCACTATGCAGTAAACCAAGACAAAAGCTCTACTGTTAATTGATATGTATGTTTTGGACAAACAGACAGCATTTTAAGATGACATATTGTACAATAGTCTTTGTCAGTTCTTTACCCCTTGGAGAAGAGGAGACAGTGGCATAGGAGACAAGTGGCATAAATACATTAAACTCACAATTGCTGTGGTAAAATCTGAATCTGAATCTGAATATATATATATATATATATATATATATATAAACTGATGTCCTTGCCAACTCTGTAACGAGTCTGATAAGAATCTGATAAGATAAAGCAGATACATCAGATAAGATATACATTATTTTGGGATAGACTGTGTACATTGTATCTATTTATAGAAATACATGAACTATCACAAGTACTGTTATAATGTATAATGTTATAAATAATGTTATATTTATGAATGAAGATTGATGACAATGTAATCTTTCACATTGATGGCATAAAAAAAAAAAAACTGTGTAATTTGTTTTTTATAATCAAAGGATTGATTTTAGAGAGACGGTTGGTTCTCAACAAATTTGCTCTCTGTGTGTGTATGGGTGTCCGGGAGAGGGCTTACGTGTGTTTGGAATGAAGATGTCAATGGTAAATCAGATGTTATCTTTCGCGATGGTGGCATAAAAAGAAGACCAAAGTGTAATTTACTATTTGTGTGTGTGTGCCTGTGTGTGTGTGTGTGTCAGGGAGAGTGGACTAACAGGTGTGTTTGGAATTAAGATGTCAATGGTGAAACAAGTTGCGCTGGCTGCAGTGGTGGTAGTGATGGGATGCATGGGCATCATCGCTCTAATCCTCACATTAGTTCAGCACTACTCGGTGGATCTTCCTCATCGAATGCAGGTGATGAAGCAAAACTGTTATCTGTGTTGTGACCGCATTAATTGGGGAAAATTCACTCTGGGGAATCACCCATGTAAAATCCTATAATTCATCTTAAAAATCTAAGTTTTTCATTTAACTTTGGGATCTCCGTTCCAACGCGTTCCCTCCTAATTCCACCATTGACCCTTTTGGATATCACATTTCCTTCATTATGTCCCAGACTTCAATGTTACTTCACAAAGCACATACCTCACAGGATGCGACAGGGCCCCTGTCAAACTCCCAAAATGGGACAGTATTCAACAATAATATGGGACAGTAGGTCCTCAAAAATGTCCCAACATTAAAATGGGACGTTATCAAAAACGTATATTTCATTGATTCTCCCAGTAAGGACAACGTTACTTTTAGTCCCTCTCTCTCTCTCTCTCTCTCTCTCTCTCTCTCTCTCTCTCTCTCTCTCTCTCTCTCTCTCTCTCTCTCTCTCTCTCTCTCTCTCTCTCTCTCTCTCTCTCTCTCTCTCTCTCTCTCTCTCTCTCTCGCTCTCTCTCTCTCTCTCTCTGTTGATATTTGACTTCTCTGTCTCTGTGTGTCCTTCAGTATGGGATGGTGTTTGATGCTGGATCCACACACACTTCTCTCTACATGTACCGCTGGCCTGGCAACAAAGAAAACAACACTGGGGTGGTGTCACAGATGCTGGTCTGTGATGTTGACGGTCAGTGCTGAGTGTTGTCAGTGAACGATTATTACTACTCTATTATTTTATCTCTTAGGGGTGAATCCTAACTTCTACGTAAGTCAAATCTTCACTTAGTCATGCATTGATGTTAAGGTTTCAAAATTCCAGTAACTTTCCCAAAATTCCCAGAAGTTGGTTGGAATGGAATCTGGAGGGAATAAGCTGCAAGGGCATTCTCCAACCTGGAGTTCCTCATCTGGAAGTTTTTTTTTTAAAACAGTACATTTTGGGAAAGTTGATGTCAATGGGAGAGTAGTTAGGATTCGCCACTAATACGCCCTTCAGTCATCTTACACTTATTTTCATGGCAGCTTGATCGCAAGGGCCAAGACAAATCATAATTTACCACCCAGTGATGGTTGTCACTTAAAATAATATACCAGTGACTCACACCCCTGTCCCCTGCTTGTCCGTAGGAGATGGCATCTCTAGCTATGCCCAGGACCCTGCTGCTGCAGGGCTCAGTCTGAGGAAGTGCCTGGACAGTGCACTGGCAGCCGTCCCTGCAAACCAGCGAAGGGAAACTCCTGTGTACCTTGGTGCTACCGCTGGCATGCGACTCTTGCAGTAAGTCTAGACTGCACTATCTTGATAGGTGTAATCATTTCCATTTACCACATCCCAATACTACGACTTTATGAATGAATGTGCTAGGAAAACGTCCCACTAATCTACACTCTTAGAAAAAAAGTTGCTATCTAGAACCTAAAACAGTTCTTCGGCTGTCCCCATAGGAGAACCCTTTTTGAAGAACCCCTTTTGGTTCCAGGTAGAACCCTTTTGGGTTCCATGTAAAACCCTTTCCACAGAGGGTTCTACCTGGAACCACAAAGCGTTCTCCTATGGGGACAGCCAAAGTCCTTTTTTTCTAAGAGTGTATTTAACCTCCTGTACATATTGACTGGGTGCTGTATGCTCTTTCAGGCTGCAGAACTTGGTTTTAATAATAAAGTAGCATTTCTGAAATCTACTTCCATTGTCCGGTAAGAGTGGCTGAATATTTTCCTCTCCTCAGGCTACAGAATCACACCCAGTCTGATCAGGTGTTGGAGCATGTAACCAAGGTGATCCAGGGGTATCCCATTGACTTCCGGGGGGCACGGATCCTATCTGGGATGGAGGAAGGGGCATACGGATGGATCACCATCAACTATCTACAAGACAGCTTCATCAAGGTGTGTATAGGGCACACATACACACACACACACACACACACACACACACACACACACACACACAATACTGAAAGGCCCATCTATGAGGTTGAGTCAAAGTGGTACCCTTGACTGAAGTGCTCCGACTACAGAGGCTTGGTCTCCCAAGACAATGGTATCAAGCTTGTTTAGGCAAAATTAACAGAGGTTTGTGGATATACAGTAGGAGTACCATTTATAACTACTGTAATAACTTGTTATAATGGTGAATTGCAGGTCTTTGCAGTTTAACATTATAGCTAACATACAGTATTTGTACTTCTCCTGAGCAGCACACCTTTGAGGGAGAATGGGTGAGCCCTAAAGGAAGGAAGATCTGGGGTGCCCTGGACATGGGAGGCTCTTCTACCCAGATAGCCTTTACCCCCGTCCAGCCTGTACAGGACCCTGCCTCCGCCCTGGGACCCAAGCTCTATGGTTACCAATATGAGGTGTATACACACAGCTACCTGTGCTATGGCAAGGAGCAGGCCATGAGGCAGCTACTGGTTCATCTACTGAAGGTACTGTAAGTAGCTGTCTGGTCACCTGTTAGATATGACTCAAAGAAATTGCAGAATGGTTTTGGGTACTGTAAAAATGCCAGGTAAACTCCCCCTACAAGTAAATATAAAACCAGTTTTCAGGAAGCCACTGGACGCCTCAGACACATTTGTTATATATCTTTTTAAAATTGTATTACGGGTCAGAGGAGCATCCTGCATCATGGTAAAAATAATCATAGTACATACTCTGCTGTTTTATCGCACGTGCAATGATGTCCAAGGGGAAAAACTTGTTCGTTGTTTAAAGTAACGTCTTTGTTGTTGTAATATTGCAAGCAGACGTGGCAGTTTAACCGCTATGGATTCCAGCTTTAAAGCACATCATAAATATCTTTGGGCCAATCTAATTGCCCTAAAGCTGTTTGACTGAATGCGTCTCAGTTGAGTCAGAAGCATTTTATGGCTGTTTAAAGAGCTGTTTTTCTTTTGATTCAAGCAAACTTCTTCCTCTCTCAGATGAGTGGGTCTACCCGCCCAGTCAAGCACCCCTGCTACCACCTGGGCTACAACCTAACCCGGACTCTGGGTGACCTCTATGACTCCCCCTGCGTGGCCAGACCTGTGACCTTTGACCCGGCCTCAGCGGTCACCTTTACAGGGACCAGTGAGCCGTTGCAGTGTTTCAACCAGATGAAGAACATCATGAACCTGACTGCCTGCTCTCTGGCCCCTGCCTGTGGCTTCAACGGGGTCTACCAGCCCCCAGTCAGTGGCTACTTCTTTGTGAGTATCCATCCCATACCTACGCAAACCCTACTCAACTGGCACTCCAGGCAGGCTCAATCAAACAATCCAATTTGAAAGATGTCTGAACCCTATGTACAGTATATATTGTCACCATCATACTGTTTCTTCTCTCTAGGCTTTCTCAACGTACTATTACACCTTTGACTTCCTTGGTCTGGCTCCTCAGTCCTCTCTGTCTCAGGCTACCACCACTATAGACACTTTCTGTAAAAGGACCTGGGACTCGGTGAGATATAGAGATCTCTGCTGACCTTTCACATTGTCAGTACACTTCCTAAAACTGTATACCGGTATACAGATTCATAAATTCATACTCAATCACAGCTAAACAGCTAAACACAAACTATAGTATTTCTCATAATAACCCCATTCACAATGGGGCAGATTCAGATTTAGGAATTTCTACCTTTCCTACACACGCCTTTCTTTTTAGATTAGAGAGTTTAATAGTCACATGTACAAGGTTGCAGATGTAATTACAGGGCAGCAGGTAGCTGACTAGTGGTGGCTATTCACCACGGTGCCCGCGTGGTTGACCATTTCAGCTCCTCAGAGATGTGTTTTTGACCGTCTCCATGGTGGCCCCGTTGATGAGGATGGGGACGTGCCTAGCCTGGTTCCTCCTGAAGTCCACAATCAGCTCCTTTGTTTTGCTGATGTTGAGGGAGAGGTTGCTTACCTGGCACCACGCCGTCAGAGTGCCTACCTCCTCTCTGTAGACCGTCTCGTCGTGGTTGGCAATCAGGCCTACTGCTGTCGTGTCGTCAGCTAACTTTCCTACGCACTTCTCAGTATTTGGTATTCAGACTTACCTTATTCAGTCGGATAACACACTCTGCAGGTATGCCTACCTTGCTGAATAAATATAATTCAACCGCTGAAAACACTCCCACTTGCTGGTCAACAGATTTTCTTAAGCCATCCCTTTAAATACAGTGTACCTTTTAGGTAGAATTTTGTCAACAGAAAACATACAGGATATATCGAGAGAACGTGTTCAGAATATTAGGGATCATCGAAAGAAATCCATCTAAATATAGGGATGTAGCTCAGTTGGTAGAGCATGGCGTTTGCAACGCCAGGGTTGTGGGTTCGATTCCCACGGGGGGCCAGTATGAAAAAAATAAAAAATAAAAATGTATGCACTCACTAACTGTAAGTCGCTCTGGATAAGAGCGTCTGCTAAAATGTAAATGTAAATGATATTCGTTTCCTTTTCAGCCCCAATTTATAGATTTAAAAATACTCTGATCTTGTAGATTATTTAGCTTTAGGAAAGTGTTTTTGAATCATAAAAACAGGTTGGGAGAGCCTTTACGCATGAAAGAAAGATAACGGTGGTTTTATTAATTCAGAAAATTGCCACATTCAGTTCTTCAAACCATGGCAATGTTGGAAGATTAGTATATATAGAATTATAATAGGGAGAATAGTGTACAATAGTAGGCTATACCTTCGTCTATTGCCTGCACTAACCATGGAACTGTGTGATGACATTGCCAAGTATTGCGCCAAGTATCGGGTTCAATCTGTTACGGCTTGGCCTGTGCTCCGCTCCATAACGATTTAATTAGCCGACATGTATTTTTTTTATATTATCAACTGTTACTAATGATTCTCAGCAACAACCACATGGCAGTGATGGTGTTTACAAAGGAAGCAAATGAAAGTAAATGAGACAATGTAATTAAATGTAATGGTAATGTAGGCTATACCAACTGAAGTGAACTAAAAGTAAATTGGCAGTTGAATATGTGTGGTTATTAGGGCTACTGATGGTCGATACTAATATTTAACATGATAGAAATAGGAGACGGAGAAAGTCAGGGTAGCCAAACTGATTAATTATTTACCTAGCTCTTATCAAGTTGTAAATTATTATTATTATTATTATTATTATTATTATTATTATTATAAATTACAGTGCATGGAGAATGGTGTTATTTCTATCAAAAAAAATAAGTAGATGCTTTTTCCACTGGACCTTATTCATGGTTTTCAAGTCAAGGTCAGAATACAGCATATCTGTAGACACACCTTCATTTATTAGATCACCCCCAACAAATAGTGGGTGAATAGCATGCTATTCTCATGCTTAAATTCAAGGTCAGAATACGCATAGAGAGAAAAGTGCACTTACACCACTTAACTCGGGTCAAAATCGGCCCCGATATTACTACAACTTTGTTTATGATAATAACCATTATTTTGGCAGCTCAAGACAGAGTATAGTGAAAAAGACAAGTACCTTCGTGATTACTGTGCCTCCGCCAACTACATAATGACAGTACTACTAGACGGCTACAAGTTCAACCAGACCTGGGGAAACATATACTTCCAGAGACAGGTGTGTGTTTAACTATACACTTGTGTATTGAAATATGTAAAACATCAACATCCAATTCGATTTAACTTCAGGACACTGAATGAAATTTTACCACAGAATTAATGAAAAAATGACTGTTTTTGTGTGGCATTGAATGTGAATAGCTGTGCTACCTCAATGAAGCTGTGTGTCTATCATATGCATACATATATGTTTATAGACATCATTGTCTATCAGGTGGCAGACACAGACATCAGCTGGACGCTTGGCTACATGTTGAACCTGACCAACCTGATCCCTTCAGAGCGCCCCCTGGTGGTGACAGGTGTGCAGAATGGCCAGTGGGCAGCAGAGGTCTTCTTCATAGCGTTTGCTGTGTTCCTCAGCCTGATGGTGCTAGCCATACTGTGGCTCTGGAACCCACGAGGCAACACAACAATCGATGCAATCACACTCTGAACATCTCTGACTTCTAGTCCCTTCTAGTCTATATAGATTAGGTACAATGTGATAATAGCACTGAGTCAATCAGATCGATGGATCGGAAGAGCGTGGCAGCTCCTGGAACTCACAGTAATAGTTACAACAATAATTTGTAATATTTTCTGTCAATATGACTGGAATTATGGAGGCAATTGAATGTATTATGCATTTATTAGGCTTGTATAAACTGCATAGCTGGATGTTTTACAAGAAAAAAGAAACCCTACAATTAATTGTAATATGACACTATCTACTGTAAATAAATATTGTTGGTATGAATATATATCTCTTAATAATTTAATAAAAATGTTCCTCCACAAACAGTGTTTGAAAGAAGTACCAAAGGGAGAATCATCTCAAGCGTCACATTAATACCACTACAGTATATGCTTTGGCATGCATTGACAAAATATTGTTTTCATTCAAATCTGATATATTACATATAGAACATTTAGAAGTAAAAATACAATCATAAGGGCTTATAAGGCACAAATACATTTTGTGTGTGTGCGTACGTGCATGCGTTCGTATGTGTGTGCGTACGTGCGTGTATGTGCTGCACATTATGAGATGGACCAATCTTCTCCACCTTGATCAGCAGCAGCCTGATTTCTTCTTTGGGGGTTCTTTCTGCAATACCAAGCTTCCCTCTTCTTGTCTTGTCTCCTCACCCACCTTCTTTAGCATCCTTGAAGCAACAACACACCAAATCAATGTTTGAATATTCACAGAACAGAGTCATCTTCCACATGCAGATGATGACAATATGCAGCCAAATCCAGACTACACACAACAACACCAACAAACAATAGCTTGTACTGTACATGAAAGACCTGTCGGCATGTCTTACCTTGCCAGAGTTTCCATAGACAGAGTCACATTGTCACCTGTAGCAGCACTACACTCCATAAAGAGCATGTCGTACCTCTGTAAGAGTGAGGGCAAGTGTCGTCAATAAAAGTATTATTTGTATTTATTATGAATGATCTCAATCATGCTTTGGTACCACTGTCAATTTCAGCACCAGCTATATAACTGTAAAATAACCATGTATACCACATCACCTGTAGATCCTGCAGTCCAGTCGCCCACATTCAGGCTGTTAAAGTTACAGTAACGTCAACATACCTTTGCAAGGTTCTCCCCTTCATGAGTCTGAACCTCTCGTTGTAGTTCAGCACAATCAGTCTTGTTCCCAAGGAGTATAACGATGACATCATCTGGGGCCCCCTCCTACAAAATCCAAAAGTTTATGACAGTACAATAGATACCAGTGGAACAACTGTGAATCCTGCAAACAATTGTTTGTGTAGTTACATAGTTGTTATTTGATTATACTATTAAAGGCATTATTTAAATGCCCCCCTACCTGAATGCAGTTGACCCAGTAGCGGACGTCACAGAAGCTCTGAGAGGAAGTGATGTCATATATCAGCAGTAGACCCTGGGCTTTGTGGAACACTTGTCTGGTGATGCTGTGGAACCTGGGGAGGAGAGTGAAGAGTAATGTAACAATAGTATAACATGTATTTAATTATATACTAACAAATAAAACACACACAGAGGAACAGATTCTGTATCGATGCATTACATATGATGAACAACTGTGATGAACTTAAGTCAGAGACCCACCTTTCCTGACCTGCAGTATCCCATAACTGTAGAGTCACTGGGCTTGCATCCACTGTCACAGACTGTATACAGGTATCAATACCTGCTCAGATCATAAGCACACAAAAAAAAAAAACTGAAACCAGACATGAATGAGCAGCACAGTAATGTACAGTAATACCACAGGGTGTTCGTTTCTTCACATGACACGAAAGGGCATGATGCCAAACATACTACAAGGATGATGATACTCACCAATGGTAGCATCGTGGTGCAGACAGAACTCTCCACTTTGGAAGCGCCTCATGAAGGAGGTTTTGCCCACACTGCTGTTTCCAACCATCACCACGTTGTAGGGGTTTGATCTAGAGCCAGAGCTTCCAAAGGTACCTGGAGGGGGATCAGAGAGACAGGTCTATTACAGTCGATATCACTTCCCTGATCTCACTCAAACCTAACTTGACTTATTCCTTTTCGCTCCAAGTGGAGAACAAAGGTCCTCAACAGTGCATATCCAGCAATTAATTTCAGGTGATTCCTGCCAGGTGGGCTTACTTACTCAAGACTAACCTTTCCATACCACTTGTACCCCCTTACTGCTGCCATTCCATACTTACCCGGTGGCTGTATCTTCTTCTCTCTGGTGACCGGGACCTTCTCCACACGCTCTGCCTTTTCTTGACCTCTTTTATTCCCAGGGCCTGGTTGTGGAGCTGGAGCCACTTGTTCAGACCCTATTCCACTCAAAGCAGTGCTTGAGGCAACCACCTTAGACAAATAGAAAACATTATCTCCCACAACGAACAGGTTATGATCATCTCTTCAAAATTAAATGTGTAATACCATTGTGTGTTCAATATTCTATATACTGTCTGGTATACACACTATGTAAAACATTTAAAAGTAACAAATCAGATGTTTAACATATAGTACCAGTCAAAAGTTTGGACACACCTACTCATTCAAGGGTTTTTCTTTATTTTTAATATTTTCTACATTGTAGAATAATAGTGAAGACATCAAAACTATGAAATAACACATATGGAATCATGTAGTAACCAAAAAAGTGTTAAACAAATCAAAATATATTATATATTTGAGATTCTTCAAATAGCCACCCTTTACCTTAATGACAACTTTGCACACTGCAGCTCTTTATCATAAAATGTTGAATAATAAAATATCCTCAAGTACTGAGCCGCGGGATGTTTATCTACATCAAGAACGCTATGAGTTTAATAGAATAAGTGAAGCAATTTGTAAGGAAAGCCACAGTACCTCCTTCTCTGTGCTCTGTCTCTCCTGTTGGTCCTCCAGACTGACAGCTTCAGCCCTGTGCTCCTCTTGAAATCTTTCCAAAACAGCATTAACTTCTGGATTTCCAATGGCTTCAGCTCTGACCTCTGCCTCTGTTACATTTTCTCCTGTCTCCTGCGTCTCTGCTTCTCGTGTCCGATGAGTAGAGACCATATTTATTCTCTTCCCTGTAGCTTTGGATTCACCAACATCCTCGTGAGATTGGGAACTCAGAGACAGAGATGATTTCGAAGGAAGATTGGGGCTATTACTTGGTGTAAACAGACGTTGTTCCATGTCAGCTGTTTGGGTAAGTTGAATAGCAGAGATATGAGGGTCTATACAAACCATATCGCCTGACCCTTGGGCCTCTATTGTAAGAGCTGATGTGTCAAAGGGAGTTTGGCTGCTCTTGCTCGCTGCGACTATTTTCACTTCTACCTCAATCTCCTCCGCCTCTCTAACTTTTTCTGTTGAGATCAGTGCGTCATCGGTCAGGTAGGAGTCAAGAGTAGAAAAATCAGGGTTGTGAAGAGTTTGTCTATTCTCAGTCAACTCTGCTTCACTTAGAAGCATGAGTTTTGTTGCCATTGATTCCTTTATAATTGATTGGCTCTCACTTTCTATATTGTCAGCCTCTATGTTTCTTCCCTCTTGATTTGAAGTACTGAATGAACAGCTGAGGTCAGTCAGGACACTCTCCTCATTTTTCTCTTCTCCTTCATTCTTCTCATTACCAGCTCCATCCTTAGATTCCATCAACATTTCAAACTCTATGCAAGAACCTTCCACTACTTCCATGTTTTCTCCCTTGTCTTCTATCGCCTCTGTGCTTTCTATTTCACCTTCTTGTTTCTCCTCTGTGCCATCCTCTTCTCTTTGTGCACCTCGAGGATGCCTACGAGTCGACCCCATCTTTCTCCTCCTGTTTGGAGAAGGACTCTGATTGGAGTCTGTGTTTGCTGCATTAACACCTTGGTCTTGAACACTCTGCAGTAAGAGTGGATTGAGAAAGGAGTTATGGCTTTCATCCGAGTATGGAGTTTGGTTGCATTGACTACCAGAGATATTGGGATCAGCGCTCAAAGCCTCATCTGTTTGGCAGGTCTCTGTTGTGAGAGTTCTATCATCATACGTCATTTGGCTACTGACACTCACTTCATTTACAAGCAGCACACGATCACTAACTTCCTCCTCGCTGAGTAAAATGACCTCTGATGTGTCCAGTCCGCCTGTGGTATTGGAGTCAGTGTTTGTACCCTCCTCATTCCCCTGAATACTCTGCAGTAATAGTGGGGTGAGAAAGGGGTTAGTGATTTCCATACATGGAGTTTGGATGAGATGACTAGGAGAGATTTTGGGATCAGTGCTCAAAGTGTCATCTGACTCTATTTTAAGAGCACGATCACATGTTATTTGGCTGTTCTCGTTCACTTCAGAATCATTCACAAGCAGTGTGAAATCACTAACTTCTTCCTCAATGAGTAAAGTGTCTTCTGATTGGTCCAGTCCAACACTGAAGACCTCTATTGGGTCAACTATGTGGTCCATGCTTGCTTCATTGTTGATCTCAGTTTCTGTATTGACAGTTTCTGCAGTGACTCTGTTGCATTTCTCTTGGTTATGTAATTGATCTGCAATACCAAATGAATCGATGTCTTGGTCAAAAGGGGTGGGTTCAATCAGACTTTCTTCATCCATTCCTTTCTTCTCCTCATCGGCACTATGTTCCGGTTCCAATAATTTCAGTGACTCTTCCAATGTTTCAACACCAGATCCTTCCACTGTTCCCATTTCCCACTCTAACCTCTCTCCTGTCTCTTCTATGTTTTCTGTGTCTTCCTCCGTTTGGAAATTCTCCTTTTCCGTCTGCTCTCCTTCTTTTTCGTCTCCACTGGTGCTACCTTTAGGCTCCATAGACATTACCAACTCAGTTTCTTCGATGCCAAACATTTCCTCTTTTCCCACTGTGACCTCTTCTCCCTCATCATAAAGATAACGATATCTATGCATCTTACTCTCTCCATGTTCTTCCTCCTCATGTCTACCTCTAGGATTCCTGCGAGTTGAACCCATCTTTCTTCTCCTGGATTCTGATTGAGCACTTTTGTCATGACCCAAAGAGCTGTCTGAGGGGTTTGATTGTAAAAAGCTGGTAATATCCTCTCTTTGCTCAGGTTGATAGCTTTCTACATGGTCTGGTTGTCTAAAATGAGGTCTATATGCCAGTACTATATTTTCCTCAACTATCAGATCAATAAAGTCCTCAGCTTCATCTCTTTGGTGCAATGTTTCCTGATTGCCTGGACCAGTAGAGTTAATATCATCTTGCAACTCTGACTCATTTACAGCAGGTTCAAGTTTCTCTTCACCTTCTCCACTTTGGAGGATTATTGTGTTATTGAATGACTCAAAATCTTCTGTGTTGTTTAAAGCATCTGACTCAAGGGATTGATCTAATGTATGCCTAGAGCTGTGAAATGTGGAGGACTCCGCCTCGGCATGCTCACTTTCCTGCCTCCTCTCTTCCTCTTTCTTCAACTCCTCTGTTATGGGTTCATCAGCAAATCCTTGAACAACTTGCAATGAAAGGTCTAGGGGCAGATGCGAGAGTGATTCTATTCCAAGAGTATCTTGAAGCAATTCACTGCTGTAACTAACTACAGCTTCACTACTAGTTTCAGTATCCTCACCAACTTCCTCTTTACATCGGTCATCCGGTTGGTCGAGTGTGCTAGAAGCAATCAAAATAATCTCACTTTGACTTCTGCACTCAGTGTCCATTTCACTTTCTTTTGGACCCAGGAGCTCTTCTGTGTTGCTGTGAGACCCAGATTCCACAACTGCAATGGATGCCTGAAGTTCTAGGGATTTTTCTGTGTCTCCAGTTTTGGCGTCTTCTTTCTCCCCAAAGTCTGTCTCTTCTCGTTTACCTTTATTCCTACGAGTAGACCCCATTTTCCTTCTCGTCCCTGCAGTGTCAGGTGATCTTAGCAGATATGGGTTTCCAGTTTGAGACAGCTTTGACTTTGTGAGGTCATTTAATGAGGGATTATTGTCTTCCATGTATTGTGATGTTATATGAGGCTCTGTACAAACCATTTCCCCTGACTCTTGGGCCTCTACTGTAAGAGCTGCTGTGTAAGAGGGAGTTTGGCTGCTCTCGCTCTCTGCAACTATTTTCACTTCTACTTCTATCTCCTCCGCCTCTCTGATTTTTTCTGTATGTTCTACAAGCTCAGACTTTTCTATGCCAGATTCTCCTTCTACTACAATGTTGACCTCTCCCTCCACTACTACGGTCTCTGGGTCTCCCAACACCTGCTCCTCTGTCACTTTTTCTAGAAGTTCCTCAAGCTGTACAAGCTCAGTCTTTTCTATGCTGGACTCCATTTCTACTGCTATCATGACATCTCCAACCTCTCCTATAACCTCTGTGTCTTCTCCTTTCTCCTCCTCCTGTCCCTCCTCTCTTCTCTCCTCTCCTTTTTTACCTTGATGAGTCTTGCTGCGAGTGGAACCGATCTTCCTTTTCCTCCTTGGGGTGTAGGATTCTACCTCTGCTGTTTCCTCTGGACCAAGAGAACTCTGCAGTGAGGGTGGATCTGGAGGGGAGTCAGTGTTGTCTCTTGATTCATCAAGTGTTTCCTCCAATGCTGTTTCTTTGTGTTGCAAAACAGTGATGGCAGGATTTGAGCTCAGTGTGTCATCGGTCAGGTAGGAGTCATATGACTCTACAGTAGGAACATCAGGGTAAGGGTTGTGAAGAGTTTGACTAATCTCAGTCAACTCTGCTTCACGTAGAAGCATGAGTTTTGTTGCCATTGATTCCTTTATAATTGATTGGCTCTCACTTTCTATATTGTCAGCCTCTATGTTTCTTCCCTCTTGATTTGAAGTACTGAATGAACAGCTGAGGTCAGTCAGGACACTCTCCTCATTTTTCTCTTCTCCTTCATTCTTCTCATTACCAGCTCCATCCTTAGATTCCATCAACATTTCAAACTCTATGCAAGAACCTTCCACTACTTCCATGTTTTCTCCCTTGTCTTCTATCGCCTCTGTGCTTTCTATTTCACCTTCTTGTTTCTCCTCTGTGCCCTCCTCTTCTCTTTGTGCACCTCGAGGATGCTTACGAGTCGACCCCATCTTTCTCCTCCTGTTTGGAGAAGGACTCTGATTGGAGTCTGTGTTTGCTGCATTAACACCTTGGTCTTGAACACTCTGCAGTAAGAGTGGATTGAGAAAGGAGTTATGGCTTTCATCCGAGTATGGAGTTTGGTTGCATTGACTACCAGAGATATTGGGATCAGCGCTCAAAGCCTCATCTGTTTGGCAGGTCTCTGTTGTGAGAGTTCTATCATCATACGTCATTTGGCTACTGACACTCACTTCATTTACAAGCAGCACACGATCACTAACTTCCTCCTCGCTGAGTAAAATGACCTCTGATGTGTCCAGTCCGCCTGTGGTATTGGAGTCAGTGTTTGCACCCTCCTCATTCCCCTGAATACTCTGCAGTAATAGTGGGGTGAGAAAGGGGTTAGTGATTTCCATACATGGAGTTTGGATGAGATGACTAGGATAGATTTTGGGATCAGTGCTCAAAGTGTCATCTGACTCTATTTTAAGAGCACGATCACATGTTATTTGGCTGTTCTCGTTCACTTCAGAATCATTCACAAGCAGTGTGAAATCACTAACTTCTTCCTCAATGAGTAAAGTGTCTTCTGATTGGTCCAGTCCAACACTGAAGACCTCTATTGGGTCAACTATGTGGTCCATGCTTGCTTCATTGTTGATCTCAGTTTCTGTATTGACAGTTTCTGCAGTGACTCTGTTGCATTTCTCTTGGTTATGTAATTGATCTGCAATACCAAATGAATCAATGTCTTGGTGAAAAGGGGTGGGTTCAATCAGACTTTCTTCATCCATTCCTTTCTTCTCCTCATCGGCACTATGTTCCGGTTCCAATAACTTCAGTGACTCTTCCAATGTTTCAACACCAGATCCTTCCACTGTTCCCATTTCCCACTCTAACCTCTCTCCTGTCTCTTCTATGTTTTCTGTGTCTTCCTCCGTTTGGAAATTCTCCTTTTCCGTCTGCTTTCCTTCTTTTTCGTCTCCACTGGTGCTACCTTTAGGCTCCATAGACATTACCAACTCAGTTTCTTCGATGCCAAACATTTCCTCTTTTCCCACTGTGACCTCTTCTCCCTCATCATAAAGATAACGATATCTATGCATCTTACTCTCTCCATGTTCTTCCTCCTCATGTCTACCTCTAGGATTCCTGCGAGTTGAACCCATCTTTCTTCTCCTGGATTCTGATTGAGCACTTTTGTCATGACCCAAAGAGCTGTCTGAGGGGTTTGATTGTAAAAAGCTGGTAATATCCTCTCTTTGCTCAGGTTGATAGCTTTCTACATGGTCTGGTTGTCTAAAATGAGGTCTATATGCCAGTACTACATTTTCCTCAACTATCAGATCAATAAAGTCCTCAGCTTCATCTCTTTGGTGCAATGTTTCCTGATTGCCTGGACCAGTAGAGTTAATATCATCTTGCAACTCTGACTCATTTACAGCAGGTTCAAGTTTCTCTTCACCTTCTCCACTTTGGAGGATTATTGTGTTATTGAATGACTCAAAATCTTCTGTGTTGTTTAAAGCATCTGACTCAAGGGATTGATCTAATGTATGCCTAGAGCTGTGAAATGTGGAGGACTCCGCCTCGGCATGCTCACTTTCCTGCCTCCTCTCTTCCTCTTTCTTCAACTCCTCTGTTATGGGTTCATCAGCAAATCCTTGAACAACTTGCAATGAAAGGTCTAGGGGCAGATGCGAGAGTGATTCTATTCCAAGAGTATCTTGAAGCAATTCACTGCTGTAACTAACTACAGCTTCACTACTAGTTTCAGTATCCTCACCAACTTCCTCTTTACATCGGTCATCCGGTTGGTCGAGTGTGCTAGAAGCAATCAAAATAATCTCACTTTGACTTCTGCACTCAGTGTCCATTTCACTTTCTTTTGGACCCAGGAGCTCTTCTGTGTTGCTGTGAGACCCAGATTCCACAACTGCAATGGATGCCTGAAGTTCTAGGGATTTTTCTGTGTCTCCAGTTTTGGCGTCTTCTTTCTCCCCAAAGTCTGTCTCTTCTCGTTTACCTTTATTCCTACGAGTAGACCCCATTTTCCTTCTCGTCCCTGCAGTGTCAGGTGATCTTAGCAGATATGGGTTTCCAGTTTGAGACAGCTTTGACTTTGTGAGGTCATTTAATGAGGGATTATTGTCTTCCATGTATTGTGATGTTATATGAGGCTCTGTACAAACCATTTCACCTGACTCTTGGGCCTCTACTGTAAGAGCTGCTGTGTAAGAGGGAGTTTGGCTGCTCTCGCTCTCTGCAACTATTTTCACTTCTACTTCTATCTCCTCCGCCTCTCTGATTTTTTCTGTATGTTCTACAAGCTCAGACTTTTCTATGCCAGATTCTCCTTCTACTACAATGTTGACCTCTCCCTCCACTACTACGGTCTCTGGGTCTCCCAACACCTGCTCCTCTGTCACTTTTTCTAGAAGTTCCTCAAGCTGTACAAGCTCAGTCTTTTCTATGCTGGACTCCATTTCTACTGCTATCATGACATCTCCAACCTCTCCTATAACCTCTGTGTCTTCTCCTTTCTCCTCCTCCTGTCCCTCCTCTCTTCTCTCCTCTCCTTTTTTACCTTGATGAGTCTTGCTGCGAGTGGAACCGATCTTCCTTTTCCTCCTTGGGGTGTAGGATTCTACCTCTGCTGTTTCCTCTGGACCAAGAGAACTCTGCAGTGAAGGTGGATCTGGAGGGGAGTCAGTGTTTTCTCTTGATTCATCAAGTGTTTCCTCCAATGCTGTTTCTTTGTGTTGCAAAACAGTGATGGCAGGATTTGAGTTCAGTGTGTCATCGGTCAGGTAGGAGTCATATGACTCTACAGTAGGAACATCAGGGTAAGGGTTGTGAAGAGTTTGACTAATCTCAGTCAACTCTGCTTCACGTAGAAGCATGAGTTTTGTTGCCATTGATTCCTTTATAATTGATTGGCTCTCACTTTCTATATTGTCAGCCTCTATGTTTCTTCCCTCTTGATTTGAAGTACTGAATGAACAGCTGAGGTCAGTCAGGACACTCTCCTCATTTTTCTCTTCTCCTTCATTCTTCTCATTACCAGCTCCATCCTTAGATTCCATCAACATTTCAAACTCTATGCAAGAACCTTCCACTACTTCCATGTTTTCTCCCTTGTCTTCTATCGCCTCTGTGCTTTCTATTTCACCTTCTTGTTTCTCCTCTGTGCCCTCCTCTTCTCTTTGTGCACCTCGAGGATGCTTACGAGTCGACCCCATCTTTCTCCTCCTGTTTGGAGAAGGACTCTGATTGGAGTCTGTGTTTGCTGCATTAACACCTTGGTCTTGAACACTCTGCAGTAAGAGTGGATTGAGAAAGGAGTTATGGCTTTCATCCGAGTATGGAGTTTGGTTGCATTGACTACCAGAGATATTGGGATCAGCGCTCAAAGCCTCATCTGTTTGGCAGGTCTCTGTTGTGAGAGTTCTATCATCATACGTCATTTGGCTACTGACACTCACTTCATTTACAAGCAGCACACGATCACTAACTTCCTCCTCGCTGAGTAAAATGACCTCTGATGTGTCCAGTCCGCCTGTGGTATTGGAGTCAGTGTTTGCACCCTCCTCATTCCCCTGAATACTCTGCAGTAATAGTGGGGTGAGAAAGGGGTTAGTGATTTCCATACATGGAGTTTGGATGAGATGACTAGGATAGATTTTGGGATCAGTGCTCAAAGTGTCATCTGACTCTATTTTAAGAGCACGATCACATGTTATTTGGCTGTTCTCGTTCACTTCAGAATCATTCACAAGCAGTGTGAAATCACTAACTTCTTCCTCAATGAGTAAAGTGTCTTCTGATTGGTCCAGTCCAACACTGAAGACCTCTATTGGGTCAACTATGTGGTCCATGCTTGCTTCATTGTTGATCTCAGTTTCTGTATTGACAGTTTCTGCAGTGACTCTGTTGCATTTCTCTTGGTTATGTAATTGATCTGCAATACCAAATGAATCAATGTCTTGGTGAAAAGGGGTGGGTTCAATCAGACTTTCTTCATCCATTCCTTTCTTCTCCTCATCGGCACTATGTTCCGGTTCCAATAACTTCAGTGACTCTTCCAATGTTTCAACACCAGATCCTTCCACTGTTCCCATTTCCCACTCTAACCTCTCTCCTGTCTCTTCTATGTTTTCTGTGTCTTCCTCCGTTTGGAAATTCTCCTTTTCCGTCTGCTTTCCTTCTTTTTCGTCTCCACTGGTGCTACCTTTAGGCTCCATAGACATTACCAACTCAGTTTCTTCGATGCCAAACATTTCCTCTTTTCCCACTGTGACCTCTTCTCCCTCATCATAAAGATAACGATATCTATGCATCTTACTCTCTCCATGTTCTTCCTCCTCATGTCTACCTCTAGGATTCCTGCGAGTTGAACCCATCTTTCTTCTCCTGGATTCTGATTGAGCACTTTTGTCATGACCCAAAGAGCTGTCTGAGGGGTTTGATTGTAAAAAGCTGGTAATATCCTCTCTTTGCTCAGGTTGATAGCTTTCTACATGGTCTGGTTGTCTAAAATGAGGTCTATATGCCAGTACTATATTTTCCTCAACTATCAGATCAATAAAGTCCTCAGCTTCATCTCTTTGGTGCAATGTTTCCTGATTGCCTGGACCAGTAGAGTTAATATCATCTTGCAACTCTGACTCATTTACAGCAGGTTCAAGTTTCTCTTCACCTTCTCCACTTTGGAGGATTATTGTGTCATTGAATGACTCAAAATCTTCTGTGTTGGTTAAAGTGTCTGACTCAAGGGATTGAGCTAATGTATGCCTAGAGCTGTGAAATGTGGAGGACTCCGCCTCGGCATGCTCACTTTCCTGCCTCCTCTCTTCCTCTTTCTTCAACTCCTCTGTTATGGGTTCAGCAGCGAATCCTTGAACAACTTGCAATGAAAGGTCTAGGGGCAAATGCGAGAGTGAATCGATTCCAAGAGTATCTTGAAGCAATTCACTGCTGTAACTAACAACAGCTTCCCTACTAGTTTCAGTATCCTCACCAACTTCCTCTTTACATCGGTCATCCGGTTGGTCGAGTGTGCTAGAAGCAATCAAAATAATCTCACTTTGACTTCTGCACTCAGTGTCCATTTCACTTTCTTTTGGACCCAGGAGCTCTTCTGTGTTGCTGTGAGACCCAGATTCCACAACTGCAATGGATGCCTGAAGTTCTAGGGATTTTTCTGTGTCTCCAGTTTTGGCGTCTTCTTTCTCCCCAAAGTCTGTCTCTTCTTGTTTACCTTTATTCCTACGAGTAGACCCCATTTTCCTTCTCTTCCCTGCAGTGTCAGGTGATTTGAGCAGATATGGGTTTCCAGGTTGAGCCAGCTGTGACTCTGTGAGGTCATTTAATGGCGGATTATTTCCTTCCGTGTATTGTTGTGTTATTGATGATAAGTTATCTGATGAGACAAGGTCCGTTTGGAGTATCACTGAAACTGAATCAACACCAACTTCAACTACTTTCCTTTCCTTTGACGACATTTCGGACCCATCATCATCTTTATTAGTCTCATCTTCATCTTGATTCCGACGGCGTTGTCGTGATGACCCCATTCTCACTTTTCTTGGCTTCTTGCCAGACATGGTTCTTCAAGTCCCTCCTATATCACGACACAGACGATAGATTGTTAATCACTAAACCCTGCTGGAATTAAAAGGCTTGTAGGTATTATATGCTCCTTGCATCTTTTACACAATAAGATTACTCACTGTGAAGGCACCACTAAAAGAATGTAGGCACCATTAGACCTTGTTTAAGACGCATTCCAGCTATTTTTTAACTTTTCCTGTTGAAAAACAATATCCCACATATAAATACAGTAATGTACACACACTTATGGGTAAATAAAATGTGGGGAGCAAAATAGTTTTTTATAGACACAAGTGAAAACTTCATGGAGTTGGCAAGGGTTCCCCAATAGGTTGCCCGTGGGTCTAATTGATTTTATTTGCCACCCCAAGTTGTCAGGAAAAAATTAAAATAAAATGTGTTGGACGTGACTGTAAAATCAGCAGGAAATGAGCTCAAAGTGATTTTAATTTAGGATTTTTTTCCCCAAGTATTTCCACGCATAAATAGAAAGCATATGTGATCGTATCCAAATGTAATATATTTTGGAAATGATTCTATTTTTTTCAAATACTATATCTCTTTGGGATTCTGCAGTGCACAAATGATTTATAACTGTTACCAGATTTCCATCCAACATTTTCATGCGAGTAAAGTACAGTACCAGTGAAAAGTTTGGACACACCTACTCATTCAAGGGTTTTTCTTTACTTTTACTATTTTCTACATTGTAGAATAATAGTGAAGATATCAAAACTATGAAATAACACATATGGAATCATGTATTAACCAAAAAAGTGTTAAACAAATCAAAATATATTCTATATTTGAGATTCTTCAAAGTAGCCACCCTTTGCCTTGATGACAGCTTTGCACACTCTTGGCATTCTCTCAACCAGCTTCATGAGGTAGTCACCTGGAATGCATTTCAATTAATAGGTATGCCTTGTTAAAAGTTCATTTGTGGAATTTCTTTCATTCTTAATGCGTTTGAGCCAATCAGTTGTGTTGTGACAAGGTTGGGGTGGTATACAGAAGATAGCCCTATTTGATAAAAGACCAAGTCCATATTATGGCAAGAACAGCTCAAATAAGCAAAGAGAAATGAGAGTCCATCATTACCGGTACTTTAAGACATGAAGGTCAGTCAACACGGAAAATTTCAGTCGCAAAAACCATCAAGCACTATGATGAAACTGGCTCTTATGAGGACCGCCACAGGAAAGGAAGACCCAGAGTTACCTCTGCTGCAGAGGACAAGTTCATTAGAGTTAACTGCACCTCAGATTGCAGCCCAAATAAATGCTTCACAGTTCAAGTAACAGACACATCTCAACATCAACTGTTCAGAGGAGACTGTGTGAATCAGGCCTTCATGGTATGCACACATGACTGTAAGTCGCTTTGGATAAAAGCGTCTGCTAAATGGCATATTAATTATTAATATTATTATTAATATATTAATTAATTATTAATTAATTAATATTAAAAATTGCTGCAAAGAAACCACTACTAAAGGACACCAATAAGAAGAGACTTGCTTGGGCCAAAAAACACGAGCAATGAACATTATACCTGTAGTGGAACAGGTTGAGAGCTTCAAGTTCCTTGGTGTCCACATCACCAACGAACTATCATGGTCCAAACACACCAAGACAGTCGTGAAGAGGGCACGACAAAGCCTATTCCCCCTCAGGAGACTGAAAAGATTTGGCATGGGTCCTCAGATCCTCAAAATATTCTACAGCTGCACCATCGAGATCATCCTGACTGGTTGTATCACCGCCTGGTATGGCAACTGCTTGGCCTCCGACCGCAAGGCACTACAGAGGGTAGTGCGTATGGCCCAGTACATCACTGGGGCCAAGCTTCCTGCCATCCACGACCTCTATACCAGGCGGTGTCAGAGGAAGGCCCTCAAAATTGTCAAAGACTCCAGCCACCCTAGTCATAGACCGTTCTCTCTGCTACCGCACGGCAAGCGGTACCAGTGCCAAGTCTAGGTCCAAAATACTTCTCAACAGCTTCTACCCCCAAGCCATAAGACTCCTGAACATATTTTTACGCTGCTGCTACTCTGTTAATTATTTATGCATAGTCACTTTAACTCTACCCACATGTACATATTACTTCAACTACCTCAACTAGCCGGTGCCCCCGCACATTGACTCTGCACCGGTACCCCCCTGTATATATAGCCTCCCTACTGTTATTTTATTTTACTTCTGCTCTTTTTTTCTCAAATTTTTTTTGTTGTTGTTTTATTTTACTTTTTTTATAAAAAATAAATGCACTGTTGGTTAAGGGCTGTAAGTAAGCATTTCACTGTAATGTCTGCACCTGTTGTATTCGGCGCATGTGGCCAATAAAATTTGATATGATTTGATTTGATTTGATTTATACCGGTGGAAATCTGTCCTGTGATGGAGTGCTGCATCAGATGACCTGGCCTCCACAATCCCCCGACCTCAACCCAATTGAGATGGTTTGGGATGAGTTGGACCGCAGAGTGAAGGAAAAGCAGCCAACAAGTGCTCAGCATATGTGGGAACTCCTTCAAGACTGTTGGAAAAGCATTCCAGGTGAAGCTGGTTGAGAGAATGCCAAAAGTGTGCAAAGCTCTCATCAAGGCAAAGGGTGGCTACTCAAAGAAGAATCTCAAATATAAAATCTATTTTGATTTGTTTAACACTTTTTTTTATTATTACATGATTCTATATGTGTTATTTCATAGTTTTGATGTCTTCACAATTATTCTACAATGTAGAAAATAGTAAAAATAAAGAAAAACTCTTGAATGAGTAGGTGTGTCCAAACTTTTGACTGGAACTGTATATTCAAGATTTCTTCACCAAACTTCATCATAATACTTTTGTTGTCATCTGAAAATGCAGTGTACCTCAAAGAACCAAGACATCACCAGTATCTTGAATGGTTATTGCATAGGCTATCAAAGTGCACTCGTGGGTCTCGTCTTAACCAACCATAAGTGCATAAATGTGCTAGAAAATGCATTTACAATTCTTTATTTGAAAAACTATATTTTCATTGCGAATTAGAGTGCTGCATACCTCAACAATTATATAAGTATTTGCACTTTCATAATAACACTAAAGGAAAATGTTATGGATGTGACAGAGTCCCAAAAAACAGACAGCAAATGATACTGCACTCCATTTAAAATGTACAATGTTTTAGTAATTTCATTCTAGACTGAAGTTTTTGTTTAAAATATTAAATGTTATTATCAATCACCTACTGAGTAACAGAATAAACATACAAAAATGCAAAGTTGTTTTAAAAAAGAATAAACTCATGCTTTGTATTAATCTCACACTCTTTAATCTGCCAGCACAGGCTCTATGGAATGGTAGCTCCTCCCCCTGTTGTCCACAAAAGGAAACAGGGACTGGACAACTTGAATTTAAGACCTTTATTATGCCATGTGATCACATGCAATAGTCCAGTTAGCATAACAACGCATGATTGCAGTTCATATGAGAACATGAGTACACCCGAAATAGATGACACGCACACAGAAAAATATTGCCCGCTAGCTTGTTTGCTAACATAAACACACTTCGGAAGCAGTAGGAAGGGCATTAACATTTTATCATGATCGCGTTATGCAGTAATGCTGACTAGTGAGTCATTGATCATGTTATGAAGCGTCCGTAACGGTCACATCCGTTACACTTACAACGAGTACTGACAAAGAGAGAAAGAAAACCAATTATACATCACCTAATCCCTTGATGAAAGTTAGCTTTGCACAAGTTTGCATACAATCATACTCGAAATGCATCCACAATAACCTTTCGTCAAAAACGTTACGGATGTGACACTGCCTGTCCAAATCAGCGTTCTATCTTCACTAGATTGTAGAATTCTATACTAGCACTCAATGGGCAATCGTTTTGTTGTTGATATTGTTTCATTAACCTTCAGACTTGGTCATAAACACAGGGGGACATATGTGAGTACCAAAACAAGTTCTGTGAGCCATTGCCAAAAGCTATGAAATCTGGTTGACTAAAAATACTTATTTTGAGACTTTGTATCCTACTTTGTAGTAACAATAACATTCAATTTGGCAAATATAAAGGCCAAATATAGTCTTCACTTCAAAATACACACATTCAAGGTAAATATGAAAGTAGTTTAATTAGGAAATAAGCTATTTCGTTTTTTCATGCTCAGGTTGACCTTACTATGGAATTGCTTTTAAAGGTTTCAGACTCCCTTCATTCTTCTCACCATACCCTATCCAGCTCCCAAGGTTTAAGAGGGTAGGCTACCCTACTAGACCATGTGTGTTGTGGTTTTTCACTATGAGCTAATGGGGTTTAAGAGGGTACTAGGCCTACGCTTTGCAATTGCAGAGCTAGTAGTCAATGTTGCATTATGTGAGTACCATAAATTACCACATTTTTGATACATTGTATACAACTACCATGCTTTCATGTTTCACTACATGCTGCTAGTACAAAACCATGGTATTTTTTTCATTGTACTACCATGGTACATTTTTGTAAGGGACGAAAGGCATTCATGAGGATACCTGAACTACATGATGTCCACAAAAGCTATGGAGAATACACAACATTTACATTAAATGCACCAACTAACAGTCAGAGGAGTTATCAATGTAAGTGATGCAAACAAAGGATTGCAACTACACCATTTTAAACACCTCTGTCTGATTCATCATTTCCTGTTTCCATGTCAACACCCCCAGAGTATCACACACAGAACATGACACTTGAAAATGTGCAAGAAACTGACTAATTTCTATAGTTACTCGGCACCTCCCCCAATCTCAATCAAATCTCGCTTTTTAAAGGTGAGGGTTTTTTATTTAATCAATAAATGTAAATGCTGGAGTTTGTTGCTGAAACCATGTCATTACGAATGGTATGTATTATGAATTGTAATGCTGCAGTCTTCTAGTAATTATGCATGTGTAGATATATTCATAAACCCCCAATACAAATATATTTTAAAAAGAAACCATGTCATTACTGTAATATCTAATATTGTGCATATTCCAACGCAATACGCAAACTTTTGACATTACATATGCCTTGCTCTAACCATAATACAAAATTAATGTACTCACCTCTAGAGTCCACTTGCGACTAAACTTCATATGAAATGTTCAGGAAATCCTTTACCTCCTCCCAATAAGCTGTATGATGTCAAGTGCTGGCTAGAACTATAGCATGTCATGTTTAATTCTTCTGCTGAAACTTTTTCCTATTTCTGCAACCGTGACCAAAGACTTCCTGTGCAATAACACCAACCCTTATGTCGAAACAAAGAACTGTGCAAAAATGCTCCTTCCCGGAAAATGCTTAACTTACAGCTTTGAGACATCTCTGGTCATGAGAACATCACTGTAAATATGATATAGGGAAGGTAAAACTCAACAATTTCTCTATTTTCTTTAACCAACATGACTGTTGCTACCTGGGTTTGTGCAACCAATATTGTGATGTACAATGCCTTCAGAATGGATTCACACCCCTTTACTTTTTCCACGTTGTTGTGTTACAGCTTGAATTTGAAATGTATTACATTTAGATGTTGTGTCACTGGCCTACACACAATACCCCATAATGTCAAAGTGGAATTATGTTGATTTAATTTTTACAAATTAATAAACAATGAAAAGCTGAAGACTCTCGAGTCAATAAGTATTCAACCCCTTTGTTACGGCAAGCCTAAATAAATTCAGGAGTAAATATTTTCTTAAGTCACATAAGTTGAATGGACTGATTCTGTGTACAATAATAGTGCTTAACATGATTGTTGAATGACTCATCTCCGTACAACACACATACAATTATCTGTAAGGTCCCTCAGTCGAGCAGTTCTGTTGCCATTGATTCCTTTATAATATCTTGAACACTGCAGTATGAGTGGATTGAGTAAGGATTATGGCTTTCATCCGAGAATGGAGGTAGGTTGAGTTGACTACCAGAGACATTGGGATCAGCGCTCAAAGCCTCATCTGTTTGGCAGGGCTCTGTTGTGAGAGTTCTATCATCATACATCATTTGGCTACTGACACTCACTTCATTTACAAGCAGCACACGATCACTAACTTCCTCCTCGCTGAGTAAAATGACCTCTGATGTGTCCAGTCCGCCTGTGGTATTGGAGTCAGTGTTTGCATCCTCCTCATTCCCCTGAATACTCTGCAGTAATAGTGGGGTGAGAAAGGGGTTAGTGATTTCTATAAATGGAGTTTGGATGAGATGACTAGAAGAGATTTTGGGATCAGTGCTCAAAGTGTCATCTGACTCTATTTTAAGAGCACGATCACATGTTATTTGGCTGCGCTCGCTCACTTCAGAATCATTCACAAGCATGTGAAATCACTAACTTCTTCCTCACTGAGTAAAGTGTCTCCTGATTGGTCCAGTCCAACACTGAAGACCTCTATTGGGTCAACTATGTGGTCCATGCTTGCTTCATTGTTGATCTAAGTTTCTGTATTGGCAGTTTCTACGGTGACTCTGTTGCCTTTCTCTTGGTTATAGAATTGATCTGCAATACCAAATGAATCGATGTCTTTGTCAAAAGGGGTGGGTTCAATCAGACTTTCTTCATCCATTCCATTACTCTCCCCATTGGCTCTATGTTCCGGTTCCAATAACATCAGTGACTCTTCCAATGTTTCAACACCAGATCCTTCCACTGTTCCCATTTCCCAATCTAACCTCTCTCCTGTCTCTTCTATGTTTTCTGTGTCTTCCTCCGTTTGGAAATTCTCCTTTTCCATCTGCTCTCCTTCTTTCTCGTCTCCACTGGCGCTACCTTTAGGCTCCATAGACATTTCCAACTCAGTTTCTTCGATGCCAAACATTTATTATTTTCCCATTGTGACCTCTTCCTCTCATCATAAAGATAACGATATCTATGCATCTTACTCTCTCCATGTTCTTCCTCCTCATGTCTACCTCTAGGATTCCTTGAAGTTGAACCCATCTTTCTTCTCCTGGATTCTGATTGAGCACTTTTGTCATGACCCAAAGAGCTGTCTGAGGGGGTTGATTGCAATTCACTGCTATAATTAACCGCAGCTTCACTACTAAGTTCAGTATCCTCACCAACTTCCTCTGTACATCTGTCATCCGATTGGTCAAATGTGTTAGAAGCAATCAAAAGAAACTCACTTTGACTTGTGCTCTCAGTGTCCACTTAATTTTCTTTTTGACCCAGGCACTCTTCTCTGTTGCTGTGGGACCCAGATTCCACAACTGCAATGGATGCCTGAAGTTCTAGGGATTTTTCTGTGACTCCAGTTTTGGCGTCTTCTTTCTCCCCAAAGTCTGTCTCTTCTTGTTTACCTTTATTCCTACGAGTAGACCCCATTTTCCTTCTCTTCCCTGCAGTGTCAGGTGATTTGAGCAGATATGGGTTTCCAGGTTGAGCCAGCTGTGACTCTGTGAGGTCATTTAATGGCGGATTATTTCCTTCCGTGTATTGTTGTGTTATTGATGATAAGTTATCTGATGAGACAAGGTCCGTCTACATTGTAGAATAATAGTGAATACATCAAAACTATGAAATAACACATACGGAATCATGTAGTAACCAAAAAAGTGTTAAACAAATCAAATTATATTTCATATTTGAGATTCTTCAAAGTAGCCACCCTTTGCCTTGATGACAGCTTTGCACACTCTTGGCATTCTCTCAACCAGCTACATGAGGTAGTCACCTGGAATGCATTTAAATTAACAGGTGTGCCTTGTTAAAAGTTCATTTGTGGAATTTATTTCCTTCTTAATGCATTTGAGCCAATCAGTTGTGTTGTGACATGGTAGGGGTGGTATACAGAAGATAGCGCTATTTGGTAAAAGACCAAGTCCATATTATGGCAAGAACAGCTCAAATAAGCAAAGAGAAACGACAGTCCATCATTACTTTAAGACATGAAGGTCAGTGAATCCGGAAAATTTCAATTACTTTTAAAATTTCTTCAAGAGCAGTCGCGAAAATCATCAAGCGCTATGATGAAATTTGCTCTCATGAAGACCGCCACAGGAAAGGAAGACCCAGAGTTACCTCTGCTGCAGACGATAAGTTCATTAGAGTTAACTGCACCTCAGATTGCAGCCCAAATAAATGCTTCACAGAGTTCAAGTAACAGACACATCTCAACATCAACTGTTCAGAGGAGACTGTGTGAATCAGGCCTTCATGGTCAAATTGCTGCAAAGAAACCACTACTAAAGGACACCAATAATAAGAAGAGACTTGCTTGGGCCAAGAAACAAAAGCAATGGACATTAGACTGGAGGAAATCTGTCCTTTGGTCTGATTAGTCCAAATTTGAGATTTTTGGTTCCAGCCGCCGTGTCTTTGTGAGACGCAGAGTAGGTGAACGGATGATCTCCGCATGTGTGGTTCCCACCGTGAAGCATGGAGGAGGAGGTGTGATGGTGCTTTGCTGGTGACACTGTCAGTGATTTATTTAGAATTCAAGGCACACTTAACCAGCATGGCTACCACAGCATTCTGGAGCGATACGCCATCCCATCTGGTTTGCGCTTAGTGGGACTATCATTTGTTTTTCAACAGGACAATGACCCAACACATCTCCAGGCTGTGTAAGGGCTATTTGACCAAGAAGGAGAGTGATGGAGTGCTGCATCAGATGACCTGGCCTCCACAATCCCCCGACCTCAACCCAATTGAGAAGGAGTTGGACCGCAGAGTGAAGGAAAAGCAGCCAACAAGTGCTCAGCATATGTGGGAACTCCTTCAAGACTGTTGGAAAAGCATTCCAGGTGAAGCTGGTTGAGAGAATGCCAAGAGTGTGCAAAGCTCTCATCAAGGCAACGGGTGGCTACTTTGAAGAATCTCAAATATATTTGATTTGATTCGTTATTTCATAGTTTTGATGTCTTCACTATAATTCTACAATGTAGAAAATAGTACAAATATAGAAAAACCCTTGAATGAGTAGGTGTGTCCAAACTTTTGACTGGTACTGTATATTCAAGATTTCTTCAACAAACTTCATCATAATACTTTTGTTGTCATCTGAAAATGCACTGTACCACGAAGAACCAAGAAATCACCAGTATCTTGAATGGTTATTGCATAGGCTATCAAAGTGCACTCGTGGGTCCCGTCTTAACCAACCATAAGGGCACAAATGTGCAATATTTTTTTTTAAACTACATTTGAAAAACTATATTTTCATTGCGAATTAGAGTGCTGCATACCTCAACAATTATATAAATATTTGCACTTTCATAATAACACTAAAGGAAAATGTTATGGATGTGACAGGGTCCCAAAAGACAGGCAGCAAATGATGACACTGCATTCCATTTCAAATTCACAATGTTTTAGTCATTTCAAATCAAATCAAATCAAATGTTATTTGTCACATACACGTGTTTAGCAGATGTTATAGCGGGTGTAGCGAAATGCTTGTGTGTCTAGCTCCGACAGTGCAGTAATATCTAACAATTTCACAACATATACCTAATACACACAAAACTAGTAAGGAATGGAATTTAAGAAAATATACATGGACAAGCAATGACAGAGCGGCATGGACTAAGATACAGTAGAATATTATAGAATAGAATGCAGTATATACATATGAGATGAGTAGTGCAAGATATATAAACATTATTAAAGTGACTGTAAACATTATTAAAGTGACTAGTGTTCCATTTCTTAAAGTGGGCAGTTATTTCTATAGGCAGCAGCAGCCTCTAATGTGCTAGTGATGGCTATTTAACAGTCTGATGGCCTTGAGATAGAAGCTGTTTTTCATTCTCTCGGTCCCAGCTTTGATGCACCTGTACTGACCTCGCCTTCTGGATGATAGCGGGGTGAACAGGCAGTGGCTCGGGTGGTTGATGTCCTTGATGATCTTTTTGGCCTTCCTGTGACATTGGGTGCTGTATGTGTCTTCGAGGACGGGTAGTTTGCCCCCGATAATGCGTTCGGCAGACCGCACCACCCTCTGGAGAGCCCTGCGGTTGCGGGCGGTGCAGTTGCCGTACCAGGTGGTGATACATCCCGACAGGATGCTCTAAATTGTGCATCTGTAAAAGTTTGTGATGGTTTTAGGTGTCAATCCGACTTTCTTCAACCTCCTGAGGCTCTGTTGCGCCTTCTTCACCACACTGTCTGCGTGGGTGGACCATTTCAGTTTGTCGGTGATGTGTACGCTAATTTCATTCTAGACTGATGTTTTATTTAAAATATTAAATGTTATTATCAATCACATACTGAGTAACAGAATAAACATACAAAAATGCAAAGTTAAAAAAAAAATATATAAACAAATGCTTTGTATTAATCTCACACACTTTAAGGCCTCCTGTAGCTCAATTGGTAGAGCATTGCGCTTGCAACGCCAGGGTTGTGGGTTCGATTCCCACGGGGGGCCAGTATGAAAAATGTATGCACTCACTAAATGTAAGTCGCTCTGGATAAGAGCGTCTACAAAAATGAAACTGAATCTGCCAGCACAGGCTCTATGAAATGGTAGCTCCTCCCCCTGTTGTCCACAAAAGGAAACAGGGACTTCAATTTAAGACCTTTATTATGCAACGCTCCAGTTAGCAGAACAACGCATGATTGCAGTTCATGAGAACACCTGAAATAGATGACACGCACACAGAAAAAGATTGCCCGCTAGCTTGTTTGCTAACATAAACACACTTCGGAAGCAGTAGGAAGGGCATGAACATTTTATCATGATCGCGTTATGCAGTGATGCTGACTAGTGAGTCATTGATCATGTTATGAAGCGTCCGTAACGGTCACATCCGTTACACTTACAACGAGTACTGACAAAGAGAGAAAGAAAACCAATTATACATCGCCTAATCCCTTGATGAAAGTTAGTTTTGCACAGAAAGTTTGCATACAATCATACTCGAAATGCATCCACAATAACCTTTAGTCAAAAACGTTACGGATGTGACACTGCCTGTCCAAATCAGCGTTCTATCTTCACTAGATTGTAGAATTCTATACTAGCACTTAATGGGCAATTATTTTGTTGTTGATATTGTTTCATTAACCTTCAGACTTGGTCATAAACACAGGGGGACATATGTGAGTACCAAAACAAGTTATGTGAGCCATTGCCAAAAGCTATGAAATCTGGTTGACTAAAAATACTTATTTTGAGACTTTGTATCCTTCTTTGTAGTAACAATAACATTCAATTTGGCAAATATAAAGGCCAAATATAGTCTTCACTTCAAAATACACACATTCAAGGTAAATATGAAAGTAGTTTAATTAGGAAATAAGCTATTTCGTTTTTTCATGCTCAGGTTGACCTTACTATGGAATTGCTTTTAAAGGTTTCAGACTCCCTTCATTCTTCTCACCATACCCTATCCAGCTCCCAAGGTTTAAGAGGGTAGGCTACCCTACTAGACCATGTGTGTTGTGGTTTTTCACTATGAGCTAATGGGGTTTAAGAGGGTACTAGGCCTACGCTTTGCAATTGCAGAGCTAGTAGTCAATGTTGCATTATGTGAGTACCATAAATTACCACATTTTTGATACATTGTATACAACTACCATGCTTTCATGTTTCACTACATGCTGCTAGTACAAAACCATGGTATTTTTTTAATTGTACTACCATGGTACATTTTTGTAAGGGACGAAAGGCATTTCATGAGGATACCTGAACTACATGATGTCCACAAAAGCTATGGAGAATACACAACATTTACATTAAATGCACCAACTAATAGTCAGAGGAGTTATCAATGTAAGTGATGCAAACAAAGGTTTGCAACTACACCATTTTAAACACCTCTGTCTGATTCATCATTTCCTGTTTCCATGTCAACACCCCCAGAGTATCACACACAGAACATGACACTTGAAAATGTGCAAGAAACTGACTAATTTCTATAGTTACTCGGCACCTCCCCCAATCTCAATAAAATCTCGCTTTTTAAAGGTGAGGGTTTTTTATTTAATCAATAAATGTAAATGCTGGAGTTTGTTGCTGAAACCATGTCATTACGAATGATATGTATTATGAATTGTAATGCTGCAGTCTTGTAGTAATTATGCATGTGTAGATATATTCATAAACCCCCAATACAAATATATTTAAAAAAGAAACCATGTCATTACTGTAATATCTAATATTGTGCATATTCCAATGCAATACACAAACTTTTGACATTACATATGCCTTACTCTTACCATAATACAAAATTAATGTACTCACCTCTAGAGTCCACTTGCGACTAAACTTCATATGAAATGTTCAGGAAATCCTTTACCTCCTCCCAATAAGCTGTATGATGTCAAGTGCTGGCTAGAACTATAGCATGTCATGTTTCATTCTTCTGCTGAAACTTTTTCCTATTTCTGCAACCGTGACCAAAGACTTCCTGTGCAATTAACAACACTTATGTCGAAACAAAGAACTGTGCAAAAATGCTCCTTCCCGGAAAATGCTTAACTTACAGCTTTGAGACATCTCTGGTCATGAGAACATCACTGTAAATATGATATAGGTAAGGTAAAACTCAACAATTTCTCTTTTTGTAACCAACATGACTGTTGCTTCCTGGGTTTGTGCAACCATTATTGTGATGTACAATGCCTTCAGAATGGATTCATACCCCTTTACTTTTTCCACATTGTTGTGTTACAGCTTGAATTTGAAATATTACATTTAGATGTGTCACTGGCCTACACACAATACCCCATAATGTCAAAGTGGAATTATATTGATTTAATTTTGAAAATAGCTGTGCAGCGATGCTCATCAAACCGGACAGAGCTTGAGGATCTGCAGAGAATACAGGCGTGCCAAGCTTGTAGCTTCATACCCAAGAAGACTCGAGGCTGTAATCGCTGCGTCAACAAAGTAAAGGTCTGAAAACTTAAAAAACCTGATCTCATTTACTTATGTTTAATACATTTGAAAGAAATTCAAAGCTTGTTTATGCTTTGTCATTGTGGGGTATTGGGTGTAGAGTGAGGAGAAAAAAACGATTTGATCAATTTTAGAATAAGGCTGTAAAGTAACAAAATGTGGAATAAGTCCAGGGGTCTGAATACTTTACGAATGCACTGTTCTTGCAATGCAGATAAGAGTTCAACAAATCCGTCAGAATCAATTAAATATGGAGAAGTTAAAATGGGTAATGTACTCAACCAGAGTCAGACAAATGTCCATCTTAAGAACAATTTAATGACAAAGGTTTTGAGTTAGACTTCAACCCTTCCATCTCCCATCCAAGAATGTAACATTCAGTGTGTCACAATCAGAAGCAAAAGTAATTCAACATAATTCTAATCAATAATCCAAAAAGTTATGCCCAGGGAAACATGTTACCAAATGTTTAATTCAATCACTTCAAATAGTTTAACAGAAACAAATACAAAGTAGTTATATCATTCCCACATTGACAAATACTCCCTATATTCAGGCTGGACTGAATGTTCAAAACCAATCCCTTCCCCTACTGGACAATGCATTAGGTGTAGTCGGACAGTAAGTCAGTCATGTGTATGCTTAAACAAGTGAAAACGGGACACATTTGGTAGAATAAAGACAGTAAATTGTGGACTATACAGCTTGCAAAGACAGAATTGTTTCAGAGATGGACAGACATGGCCGTCTCACCTAAACCAAAACCTAAAAAGGTTAATCATTTAAAAATAAAATGCACTCATCCAGAACCTGATTCTATACAAGACATCCTCAGGTTTGGACTGAGAGTTCAGACTGTCAGACACTCACTTTCTCTCAGCGGTCCTGGAGCGGCTGAAAAAAATATACACAGAAGTTGTCAGAAACAAGAAAACTTGCACAGTGAATTACTACAATACATTGCCCATAGGCCTAAAAATACGGCCAGTGAACACTCGCACACACATTTACCTCCGGGACCTTGAGAAGGATCTTGAAGGTTTATGGTTCCTGTCTCTGGAGATAGACCTCTCTCTTCTTCTGTCTCTTGACAGAGACCTAGTAGAAGAACAAGTAAATTAGAGTGTTTCCAATGTACTCACATGTATTCAGATGCCCATCAGGATTATTACATTTGAACAATGGTCCCTTGAAACTAGACAGCACCAATTAGAATCAATGATGTGAGAACCAAGTGTACTAGGGGTGTAACTGTACACTTAGTCGGGAACCTCTGTTCGGTCCACACTGTGAACCCGAATTAATAAATTAAATAAACACTAGGCCTATAGGCTATGCGTACGCTGCGTTGCAGGCCTATGCCCCTCGAGTAAATATGACCTGAAAAAATATTTGCGGCTTTTCCATTAAAACTAGTGCCTATGGGGCCTACCGAGTGGCGCAGCGGTCTAAGGCACTGCATTACTACAGACCCGGGTTCGATCCCAGGCTGTGTCACAACTAGCCGTGACTCCCATAGGGCGGCGCACAATTGGCCCAGCGTCGTCCGAGTTAGGGGAGGGTTTGGCCGGGGGTGCTTTACTTGTCTCATCGCGCTCTAGCGACTCCTTGTGGCAGGCCGTGCACCTGCAGGCTGACTTTGGTCGTCAGTTGAACTGTGTTTCCTCCTACACATTGGTGCGGCTGGCTTCCAGGTTAAGCGGGCAGGTGTTTAGAAGCGCGGTTTGGCAGGTCATGTTTCGGAGGACGCATGGCTCAACCTTAACCTCTCCCGAGCCAGTTGGGGAGTTACAGCGATGAGACAAGATCGTAATTGGATAACACGAAATTGGGGAGAAAAAGGGGGTAAAATACAACAAAGAACTTGAGCCTATGCACAAGTTGTAATAAAAATTTCAATATTTTGTGAGGCGCAGTCGAGATTCTGACCGGGCCAAAGAAATTACAAGAGTGATAGGTATGTTTATAGCCGCGGATATGCGCCCATTCTCTGTGGTTAAGAATAGGGGGTTTCAGCACCTCTAAAGTGCTCGAGCCACGTTCCGAACTTCGCCCTCTCGCACCCATTTTAGCAAACAGCTTGTATATAAGCAAGCTAAAAGCCGAAGTTGTCAATGAATTGGCCAATGCTGTTGCGTTTACTACAGATGGATGGACCTCCAGAGCTACTTAACAGTGACAGCCCATTACATTACCCAGGAGTGGGAAATGACGAGTAGTGTGCTACTCTTTGTAAGAAAACATTATAGCATAGGCCTATACAATGTCTGAGCCATGTTTACATCGATTTCACACACACATATTGCGGTTTATTTTAGTGTTGTTGAGTAAGTCGCTCTGGATAAGAGCATCTGCTAAATGACGTAAATGTAATCATGTGTTCATAAAAATAAAATATACAAAGTGTTGGTATTCCTGATTGTGCTTTCATCAGACATTATAGGACTCATGGTATTCCTTTTTTCATGTATGATCAACACTTTGCATTTTCTTAACAAACATTTACTACAGTAACTGTTGGCATTTCATTTTCCCGCTGTACCGAAACCAAACAGTGACCCCAAAACTGCAATATGTACCGAACCATGGGTTTGGTGTACTGTTACACCCCTAATGTGTACTAGACCGATCTACTATTGGGGGCAGATCTATTCATGTTTTTTAGGAAGACTATAGTTAGTTACCACAACACTGATTAAGTTGTGGAGGCTGGGGTAAAGTGGCATTTAGGCTCACCTGCTGCGACTGCGGCTGAAGCTCCTCCTCCTAGGAGAGCTGGAGGTGGATGGAGCAGGAAAAAAAGTTAATACAGTGCATAAACGCATCAACTCAAGTCAAATATTGCATTCCTTATCCCTGAAGAAACGTCATTCCAATCATTACACAATACCACACAGCCTTCCTCTTTCTGCCGCCAGATCAGAACAGGGCATCCTCTGCACCCCTGCTAGAGGACAGAATGCCAGGACAACCACCTGAGGTCAAAATGAGACCTCTTATAAAACAAAGTGAGACAATGAATTAGAGATATAGAACATTTTTAAGTACAGGTATGCAGACTTATAAGCTACATACTGTACTGTTTTGTTGTACAGATGTACATAGGGCACACTACCAATATTGGACCTCACACAGTTCATGCTAACCAGGGCAGCTCCAAGAACACACAACTTTTGAGTTTAAGGATAAAAGCTTTTCATTTGTGATCTATGGGAGGGAGATTCAAGATTCTTATTATTGTACTCACAAGTTGATGTTTGAAACTAAATTCACAATTTCCCTGACTGCCAGTTTCATACCGTCAAGCAGCTGTAAAACCAAACCTGTGGTAAGCATGACACTACAAAAAGCAGGAGAAAAGGAACTTACTATTTTTGGGGGTTTGGACACAAGATAGAAATGACACAAGGAAGCCAGACTGATGGCGAGGGAGGTAGAATTTGCAGAGAGGATTTGCCACAAGTTGCAATTGTTGGAGATATGAAGTTGGTTGGCTGGAGGGGGTACAGTAGATGTAGATTTTCCCTGTCTTTTTGGGGTTAGCCGAGGGCTGCTGTGCTGCTTGTAGGTAGTTGTGTTGATAATTGGGGAAAGGAGTTAAATCGCTGATTGGTCAGAATTGTGAGGTGGGCTGCGACGATGCCGATTGGGTTAAGGTTGGAGGAGGAGGCTGAGAGCTGCATGCTCAGGAACCAATAGGCTGGAGCGGAACATGACTGGCCATGCCTGGGTCATGTGACACGGCACCAGCCAAGCTGATTGGGTGGGGCACGGTGCTGCCGCTGGTCAGTGGTCACATGATGCTGTAAGAGGACTAGTTGACTGTCTGAGAGGGTGGTGAGAAGAGGCATGGTGATGACTCTGCAACGGGGTTCATTTTTATTAATATAGATAGAAAAAAATCAAACTGAGAAAAATGCAACTAACATCCATATAGTACTCAAATGATCAAACAAGTGCCCCCTTTATCAAAATTTGATAATTGTTCCAATTATCTAAAAGAATGTCACTTCAAAAATGTATTGCCTAGATCAAAACAAATGATGACTGAATTAAACCTTTCAAAATCACCAAAATTGTCACTGGGAAAAGGGACCCAGTCCCTGTGATGAGTAAATTAAAATTTCCCAGCTCTGATTGTGTCCATAGTAAAACATGTATCACTGCACTAACCAACCTACAGTGCAGGAGTGTGTGTGTCAGGTCCAGGCATCTAAATTGAAATGATAGTACATATGGAACAGTTGGAAGTGAGGGAGATGTGATGGAAGAGTGTGGGGTTGGCTGGCAAGGTAGGTAGGTCATAAACATGTGTAGGAGTACATGTTAAAAGGTGGGTGAGAATAAGTGTAGGTGAAAGACGATATATTATACCGGCGTCTGACAGGCGGGCTCCCACGGCGCCTGCTGCTGTAGTCTTCACGTCCAGGGCGACGGCTCCAGGAGGGGGGAGGTCCACGGCTCCTCGAGCGTTTCTCCCCATTAGACAACTCAACTCTCACTCTGCAGCCACACAGCGTCCTGTTCACATAGATCAATAGCAGAATAACACAAGTTAAACCTGAATACTCTTTCAATGTTTGTATGTCATGAGCTACGATCCAAATATTCAAGTGAATTTCCCCTTGAGGCCTACCGTCCATCCAGTTCTCTCACAGCATCGGTTGCATCTCTGGGATCCTCAAATTCGACAAAGGCAAAGCCTGGGGGGTTCCTGGCCACCCACACACTCCGCAGTGGGCCATAGTACCCAAACGCCCTCTCCAACTCAGTCTTGTTTCCACTGTTTCCCAAGTTCCCAACATACACCTTGCAATCCAGAGGACAATCTCTGAGATGAGCAGGTTCTGAGAGTGAAAGGTAAAAGAAGAAAAAAAAATAATCTAGATGACATCCAGTCATGCACAATTACATTCATTATAAAATCCATATATGGTAATTTGTGACAACGCTGTTAGTGTTAGGAGGTCTACAGGTGAGTAGACCGGGAAAGACGATGGATGCATAGCTAATTACCTCCCATCTAGACGGATCCTGGTTTCCTTTGAAGGGCTGACGAAATAACCAATCAATAACTGGAACAAAAGAGGGTAACTTGATTAGTTAGCTAGGTAACGTTACCGAACAAGTTATAGTGCTTAGCCAACGTTAGCTAATATTAACGTTAGGTTTCGAACTTGCCAACTAAGTAGTTAACAAAACAATGAGATTGATTTAATTGAGCTTAATACGATCGATAGTTACACCTTTAAGCAACAAGTGTATAAGTACATGCATTTACAAATGACAGACAGTTAGTACACAACAAAAAGTATTAATTGTATCACTCTAGCAAGCCAATGCTGTTTATTGTTAGCTTCCATTAGTTAGCAACCATTAGCTGTGGAGGCGCATCGGGGTTAGCTAGCTATTAGCTAGCTGGCTTTTGTTGACGGTTCAATTGAACTATTCGTCTGTAAAACAGTTTTACAGCGCATGTTGTTAAATCTTAAATTGTTTTAATTCCCAGTTCCATTAATCGAAATGTTACCAGTTATATATTCGCAAAATTCTCCAATTACGGCGCCGAAGAATCTTTGCTAGCAGCAGAAGAAGTCCACAAGGCGTTCGAAAATGGCGTTGACCGGAAATAAATACCTAGCCAGTTTGGGGCAGAAATATTAGAGAAAGTAGGAGATAGGAATTCCATGAATAACGACTGTGGTAAAGTACAAGGCCTTATCCAGCAGACAGTCGACCAATCGCGGTGACGTTGTCATGCTGCGTCACGCGGTTGCTAAAATAATCGTCACACGACTGTGGAAAATTACAAGGCCTTATCCAGCAGACAGTCGACCAATCGCGGTGACGTTGTCATTCTGCGTCACGCGGATGCTAAGATAATCGTCACGCAATCCCTTCTCAAAGTAAGAGTATGAGTCGAGAAACCTGCCTATTGTCTTCAGAAGTACGTAATGTCACGATTCCAAAGTTATATGATATTACAGAGAATAAGTTAATTATCTCACATCTCGGAAAAGATTTGTAATGTTGTACTTCTTGTTGACGAAATTCATACTAATGTTGGGTTTTTGAGCTAGCGCCCCATTGACTCCCATTCACTACTTGAAGGAGAGCGCGCCTTGTCTCATAGTCGCCCACAATGCGTCGGCCCATTGACAACGCATCGGCAACGTACACAATGGGCGTTAATACGATTTCAATGGAATTTCCCATCTCCTCAAAAGTATCTCTGCTGAGGTTAGTAAAGAAAGTGCTCTACCCCTAGCATATCGCCGTCTACTGGAGTGGAGTAGTATGACTATCTCCTCTGGTATGACTACATGGGCAAGTATTTTTTTCTTCAATAAAAGTGCTGTGTAGAGAGACCAATTATGTATACTGAGCAAACATTTTAACGCAACATGTAAAGTGTTGGTCCCATATTTCATGAGCTGAAATGAAATATCCCAGACATTTTCCATATGCACAAAAAGCATCCCTGTTGGTGGGCATTTATCTTTTACCAAGATAATCCATCCACCTGGCAGGTGTGGCATATCAAGAAGCTGATTAAACAACATGATCATTACACAGGTGCACCTTGTGCTGGGGACCCAAAAAAATGCCACTCTAAAATGTGCAATTTTGTCACACAACACAATAACACAGATGTCTCATGTTTTGAGTGAGCATTCAATTGGCATGCTGACTGCAGGAATGTCCACCAGGACTGTTTCCAGAGAATTGAATGTTCATTTCTCTACCATAAGCCGCCTCCAACGTTGTTTTAGGGAATTTGGCAATACGTCCAACCGGCCTCACAAGCACAAGTAACCACGCCAGCCCAATTGACTGATTTCCTTATATTGCACAGTACGTAATGCAGAATAAATTAGTATTGTTTATCTAGCATTTATGACAGGGTTTCCCAAACTCGGTCCTGCAATTTATGCTTTGGCCACAAATACGAGTATGGGATGAGTCAACAACATTATTTGGGTATGAGTTAATAGAATATGGACTTTTAAAAGTGAGATTTTCACTGAACAGTTACTTTAACACCGCAATATGAGATTATATTTGATAATGCTAATTATAAACGAATGATACAGCACCCCCCTTGGGGCAATTAGTGACAATTATTCAAATGTATGTTGGGTGGGTTAATGAGAGAGAGAAACAAACAATCAAGTGTTGGTGTTACTATAGCTCTACCCTTGGTCCAATTCGTGTAATTTTGTAAATGCCGGATGTTGATGGCAAGAAGCATCATTCATCCAAGATTCGTCAATATGGGAAAACAGGGCAGGAGATATGCTTGTTCACCCAAGTTTTATTAAAATCGCGTCAGTGGTGTCTGAGATATAGCTAGTAACGACGTACTAACATATGGACGGTGACAGATCCATAGTCCCCCTGCCGATTTCATCGAGTGGGACAATTAGGAGTCATGGAACCCCAACAAGCGTCACCACCAGTAGCCTATAGGCTTTGGTTAAGTTCAGACTGTTTGACCTAGTTTCTAATTACAAACATTCCTCTGTCTTTGCCTTCCAATAAAACATAATCCCTTTCTTCTTTTCACTCATCCCCCTCTCCTACAGCCAGGTCCCTCCATCTACCTTATTTATACCACAAACACTGTGCTTGGCTTTGCTCCATTCATTCAAAAAACAGGGTTTAGTAGTTGACTCTGGCCCACAGCTCAGCACTCTAAGCTCTGAAACAATATCTAACGGAATGTATGAATTAGAGCACAGCGCGGTTCAGCCAGACGACTTTCATGTTCCTCAACTATCAACCCCTCTGACCCCCGGAGGCCAAAAGTCCACAGCTAAAAAGGGTTAGGACAGGAGATTAAACTGATGGGGTTGCGTAACACATGTCTCGCTAACAAACAAAGAGCATTATGTTGCTCAGCTTTATTTTCGTCGCGGTGTTCATGTTTGAGTGAGAGTGCACTAGGCAACTTTTCTCACACTATGGGCTGACACAATCAAACAAAATGTCTTGTGTCTGTGGTTCAAATGTTTTGTTGTTTTTATTGTTGTTGCTCTTCTTCGCATATGACACAGAATTATCTTTTAGCTTAAATAAAACATTGTATTTTTTTCTTCTTTCTTCTGACCACTCAGTTTTTCAAACAGATTAGTGCAGCACATTCTGTTCTGTTTCACTTCCTGATGACTCGGTATCCTTGCATGAACCCGCCCTCGTGCTTGCAGTTACCGCACACACACACATGCACGCACGCACACACAACACAGAGACACACACGCGCATCACGTTCTGTTCCCTGAAAGCAGCACACAGACAGACAGACACACACACACACTCTCTCTCTTTCTGATAATAGTGGCATTGAATTCTAGAGTCTGTTTGGAAGAGAACGCATATTATTTTCAGAACAAGTATTGTTGCTGAAGATAAGCAAAATGATAGTTCAGCAATAATACAAGAATTCCTTAAAATCTAAACAAATAAGTATAATTATACTTTTGTATAAATACATATAGATTCACAATTGCACATCCTAAAAAATGCATTTCTGCTGTGTTTGGAAAAACCATCCCGAACACCCCAAAACTATGTGAGCATCAAAGTAATTTTTTGGAATGAGTTCTGGTGAGCAATGCGCAACGTCAACATTTGTGTACAGGCGTAGTGTTAACTAGGAAACTAAACCAGCAGTAGGCATTGCAGAACAAAAACAAAAACAGAACAGGACATGGGCAATAAAGCACTTACTTTATTGGACTGACTGTCTAATGCCCTGACTCCTTTTACCTGAGGGATATGAAACAGATGAAGTATATCCCTTAGAATTAGGCTTTCCTGATGTTACCTAGTCCAGTAAATTGTTGAATGTGTTTTAGTAGAGCAACAGAATATGATCATGCTCAATTAACTTACTTTCCAACATATGAAGTGACAGTGACTATGATGGATGGGAAAAACTCGTAGGAATAGTGCCAGAGGATTATGATTAATACTCATAATAAATTATATATATATACATATATTTTTAATCAGAAACCAAAATGCGCTCATTATAGGATAGCATGTAGCTTAGTGATTCCTCATGAAACAATAACAATAAAAAACATATACAGTACCAGTCAAAAGTTTGGACACACCTACTCATTCAAGGGTTTTTCTTTATTTTTACTATTTCCTACATTGTAGAATAATAGTGAAGACATCAAAACTATGAAATAACGCATTTGGTAGTAACCAGAAAAGTGTTAAACAAATCAAAATATATGTTATATTTTAGATTCTTCAAAGCAGCCACCCTTTGCCTTGATGACAGCTTTGCACACTCTTGGCATTCTCTCAACCAGCTTCATGAGGTAGTCACATGGAATGCATTTAAATTAACAGGTGTGCTTTGTTAAAAGTTAATTTGTGGAATTTCTTCCCTTCTTAATGCGTTTGAGCCAATCATACAAACCATCTCAATTGGGTTGAGGTCGGGTGATTGTGGAGGCCAGGTCATCTGATGCAGCACTCCATCACTCTCCTTCTTGGTCAAATAGCCCTTACACAGCCTGGAGGTGGGTTTTGGGTCATTGTCCTGTTGAAAAACAAATGATAGTCCCACTAAGCGCAAACCAGATGGGATGGCGTATCGCTGCAGAATGCTGTGGTAGCCATGCTGGTTAAGTGTGCCTTGAATTCTAAATAAACATGCGGAGATCATCCGTTCACCTACTCTGCGTCTCACAAAGACACGGCGGTTGGAACCAAAAATCTCAAATTTGGACTCATCAGACCAAAGGACAGATTTCCACAGGTCTAATGTCCATTGCTCGTGTTTCTTGGCCCAAGCAAGTCTCTTCTTCTTATTGAAGTTAGTGGTGGTTTCTTTGCAGCAATTCGACCATGAAGGCCTGATTCACGCAGTCTCCTCTGAACAGTTGATGTTGAGATGTGTCTGTTACTTGAACTCTGTGAAGCATTTATTTGGGCTGCAATCTGAGGTGCAGTTAACTCTAATGAACTTATCCTCTGCAGCACAGGTAACTCTGGGTCTTCCTTTCCTGTGGCGGTCCTCATGAGAGTCAGCTTCATCATAGCGCTTTGATGTTTTTTGCGACTGCACTTGAAGTTCTTGACATTTTCCGGATTAATTTACCTTCATGTCATAAAGTAATGATGGACTGTCGTTTCTCTTTGCTTATTTGAGCTGTTCTTGACATAATAGGGACTTGGTATTTTACCAAATAGGGCTATCTTCTGTATACCACCCCTACCTTGTCACAACACAACTGATTGGCTCAAACGCATCAAGAAGGAAAGCAATTCCACAAATGAACTTTTAACAAGGCACACCTGTTAATTGAAATGCATTCCAGGTGACTACCTCATGAAGCTGGTTGAGAGAATGCCAAGAGTGTGCAAAGCTGTCATCAAGGCAAAGGGTGGCTACTTTGAAGAATCTCAAATATAACATATATTTTGATTTGATTAACACATTTTTGGTTACTACATGATTCCATATGTGTTATTTCATAGTTTTGATGTCTTCACTATTATTCTACAATATAGAAAATAGTCAAAATAAAGAAAAACCCTTGAATGAGTAGGTGTGTCCAAACTTTTGACTGGTACTGTATGTATACCACCCCACTGACCCAGAGCAAATAGTTAAAGACACAAACAACTGTATGCTATTCCATGCACAGGCACTAGCTGCATGCTGTGTGTGGCTTCAGTATATGGTATACATGTATATGTGTGTGGGGATCCCATGCGTGCAGCCAGGTATGCATTGAGAGTGTACCTTGTTGCAGTTCTCCACAACCAGTGCATTCTCTCTCAGCCTCAGGTAGCACATTGCCAGGTTGAGCTGGGAGACCAGTAGGAAGTTCTGGATCGTCTGCTGCTGCTCCTTCCCTACACCAAACTCCATCTCAAGCCACAAAACAATGCGCTGGTACTGGACCACCGCCTGCAGGAAACGCCCCGCCTAGAACCAGGGACAACACATGGACTAGGTTTTGCAGGTCTCTCATGCAAAAGAGATTATAAGCAACATTTTCATATCGTAAAATAAATGTGCAAAGCAGGCACGTGCACAGATAGGGCTCTACCTACAGTGGCTTGCAAAAGTATTCACCCCCCTTGCCATTTTTCCTATTTTGTTGCCTTAAACCTGGAATTAAAATTGATTTTTTGACTGGTACTGTATATATTTTTATTTTCACTACATTTAATCCACAGAAGGGTCCTTTGGTGGAAGGATTGTTGACATATATTTGACATTTATATCTTAAAGCATAATTGAGAAATAAGGAATTGAAGTTGGAATATTTGTGACATTTTGGCCTTACCCAGGCCTGCTTTAATAGCTCAGACACACCCATAGGATTGTCAAACGTTTGCCTGCCGACAATACTTATCACCTCTGAACAGATTGTTGGCAGTCAATCTCTTTTGTGTTCACACAGCAAAGACCTCTGAAGTCGTCAGCCACTCAGCCTTGTTAAAATACTCCAAACCAGAAGGTGGCAGTAGCGTTGTTTGGCAATGCATGTCCTTGTGTGTTGCTTAGTTTATGGTCTAGATTCCAATGTTAGCTAGCTAGCTGCACTAATGTTGCTATTTTGTAGAAAGCCCTTGTTGATACTAGCCAGATGGCCACAGCTAGACCTGTTATGGTGACATTACCGCCGCACCAGCAGTCAGGAGTCATGACCGCAGTCAAATTCCACGTGACCATTGAGTCACGGCTTCTCCACAACTGTGGTCTGATGCCTCTGATGTTCTTAGTAGCCTACCAAACTTGCTAATGGCCAGTCACTAATGGCTGGTACTCAGCGCTCTATTGTCCCTCTAATGATCAGTCTGACATCAATGCAAACACAATCAAAAATCAAATCCAAAACTTAATGACAGCATGTCATTCAGAGTTTGAGTGGAATACGATCCATCACCTGTTGTGCAGCGAGAGCCAGCTCCTTATAGCTCGTTGATGCATGTAATCAAATAAGTGTTTCTGTTGCGCAACATTTATATAGGCTATGCTATTCAATTGCGTGAGAAAACAGTTTGATGACTTTTATTAAAAAGAGGAGGATCTCATGAGCTTTCTATAGGCTAGGCCTATAGAGGAGCCTACCTGGCTGGCATGAAAATTAACCGCGGAAAAAGCGTCCTCCATTTGCTATTCAAGTGCATATGGATGACGTCTTTTTTTACCCTGCCGCTGTTCCGACAGGTGCATGATACTGGCCCATTCTAAATCAGAACTAATTTCACACATATTATTTAGTATATGCAAAAACAAGATTAAATTGAGAATAGTCTGAATGGTAAGAATATTATCACTTGTGAATGATGGACAGCGCATGCCTTTTTTATCTCTCGACTTTTTCAAATCATAGTCGCATGCATCATGTAGCCTAGCCCACAGGCCTATATGTTTTGCTAAGGTTTGTAACACAAATAAAGTGTCCAAATAACTCCAAACGTAGCCTATAGGCCAAAGACCCTTGGAACATGGTTGGAGAGCCCATCGGCTACAGAGCCTAGTTAAACGTGTTTTTATAAGCCCAGTCATTGCGCAATCACGTGTGAAAACAGAGTTTTGACTGGCCACTATTTAAAAGCAGATCACAGCTTTCTCGTGCTTGTGACGTCTACTCCCGCTCCTCCCCTCCGGCGTTCAACGTCGCCGGTATACTAACCACGGGTCCTGGGATCCATCATTACGCACACCTGGGTTCATCATTACGCCAACCTGCACGTCATCATCAGAAACACCTGGACTCCATTACCTCACTTATTACCTCACTTATTACCTCCCCTATATCTGGCACTCCCTTAGGTTCTTTCCCCAGTCAGTGTTTATGTGTCTATACGCTACTCGTGTTTGTTATATTGTTCTATGTTCTGTTTACTATCAAACACACCACCTGCACTTGCTTTCCGACTCCCAATACGTTACAGTGCTGCTAAACTCAGCAAAAAAAGAAACGTCCCTTTTTCAGGACCCTGTCTTTCAAAGATAATTCGTAAAATTCCAAATAACTGCACAGATCTTAATTGTAAAGGGTTTAAACACTGTTTCCCATGCTTGTTCAAATAACCATAAACAATTAATGAACATGACCTGTGGAACGGTCGTTAAGTCACTAACAGCTTACAGACGGTAGGCAATTAAGGTCACAGTTATGAAAACTTAGGACACTTAAAAGGCCTTTCTACTGACTCTGAAAAACACCAAAAGAAAGATGCCCAGGGTCCCTGCTCATCTACGTGAACGTGCCTTAGGCATGCTGCAAGGAGGCATGAGGACTGCAGATGTGGCCACGGCAATAAATTGCAATGTCCGTACTGTGAGACGCCTAAGACAGCGCTACAGGGAGACAGGACGGACAGCTGATCATCCTCGCAGTGGCAGACCACGTGTAACAACACCTGCACAGGATCGGTACATCCGAACATCACACCTGCGGGACAGGTACAGGATGGCAACAACAACTGCCAGAGTTACACCAGGAACGCACAATCCCTCCATCAGTGCTCAGACTGTCCGCAATAGGCTGAGAGAGGCTGGACTGAGGGCTTGTAGGCCTGTTGTAAGGCAGGTCCTCACCAGACATCACCGGCAACAACGTCGCCTATGGGCACAAACCCACCGTCACTGGACCAGACAGGACTGGCAAAAAGTGCTCTTCACTGACGAGTCGCGGTTTTGTCTCACCAGGGGTGATGGTCGGATTCGCGTTTATCGTCGAAGGAATGAGCGTTACACCGATGCCTGTACTCTGGAGCGGGATCGATTTGGAGGTGGAGGGTCCGTCATGGTCTGGGGCGGTGTGTCACAGCATCATCGGACTGAGCTTGTTGTCATTGCAGGCAATCTCAACGCTGTGCGTTACAGGGAAGACATCCTCCTCCCTCATGTGGTACCCTTCTTGCAGGCTCATTCTGACATGACCCTCCAGCATGACAATGCCACCAGCCATACTGCTCGTTCTGTGCGTGATTTCCTGCAAGACAGGAATGTCAGTGTTCTGCCATGGCCAGCGAAGAGCCTGGATCTCAATCCCATTGAGCACGTCTGGGACCTGTTGGATCGGAGGGTGAGGGCTAGGGCCATTCCCCCCAGAAATGTCCGGGAACTTGCAGGTGCCTTGGTGGAAGAGTGGGGTAACATCTCACAGCAAGAACTGGCAAATCTGGTCCATGAGGAGGAGATGCACTGCAGTACTTAATGCAGCTGGTGGCCACACCAGTTACTGACTGTTACTTTTGGTTTTGACCCCCCCTTTGTTCAGGGACACATTATTCAATTTCTGTTAGTCACTTGTCTGTGGAACTTGTTCAGTTTATGTCTCAGTTGTTGAATCTTGTTATGTTCATACAAATATTTACACATGTTAAGTTTGCTGAAAATAAACGCAGTTGACAGTGAGAGGACGTTTCTTTTTTTGCTGAGTTTATATTTATTGGTCAATTCTTAAAAATTAAGCACATTAATCTGCTTTACAAATGATGTAGCCTAATTGGCATTTAAAAAAAGTAACTGCACATAACCTCCATTAGCTATTTTGCAGGCTATGAATGTTTTACTTTTTTGTGTGGGCCAATCTAAATCAAAAATAATATATTAGTAGGCTATATGTAAAAAACTGATTAAATTGAGAACATGGCTTGAGAATATTATCAAGTGCTTGTCAAATTGTGAATGAAAGACTGATTAAGCGTATGCAGCCTGTGCAAGAAGAGCAGAGCCCTTCACTTTCATGCGACTTTTTTCATTCGTCACATCATGCAGCGTAGAATGTATAAGAAATCAAAACATATAGCCTAAAGTTTGTATCACAACTAAAGTTGCATGAATAACTCTAAATTAGGCATACTTTGTTAACCCTTAACCCAATAGCCGCCATTGCGCACTCCCTCAAATTGTTTGGGGAAAAATATCCTTTCTATTTCATTAAGTTATGTTCCATTGTATTGTTCTTACTATAAAATAATATAAAATAATGCCACCGGAATTATGAGCAAATCTTGCCTGCTAAATGAACTAGTGTAGCGCACAGCCATATGGCATAGCCAGATCAGGGCCTAACATAAGGATGACTCAGAATATGCTATTCTGTTCTTCTGAAATAGGCTACATTTTCTTCATATCATGTTTCTTTAGACCTGCCTAAAATAAATAATGGATTTATTGTGATGGTGTAGGCTATATTAAATTGATTTATTAAACTTTAAACAATGTAGATGTTCCAAAGGTCCGCATCATTGGCTTGTAGGCTATGCATGGGAGCCTGAGATGCTAAACGTGTTTATGTTAATGAATGGTCAATTACCATAAGACCAGCAGTTATTTGAATGACAATCACCGGCTGACAAAATTTCATGACAGCCACAGCCCTAGCCACAGCCAGATAACTACCTAGCAAGATGATTAAGAAATAATTTAATTCACTCTCTATTATCCCATACTGCCAGTGCCAGCCCATAGCCAAATGTTTAGCTAGCTAATGTTAGCATATTCGCTAGCTAGCACAACATAGCTAGCTAGCTTAGGACACTGCACTAACCAAGCAGCTAACACAGGCAGCTGTTTCATGGAAACTAATCCATTGTGATTTAATTATAATGTCAATACTAGCTACAGTGGTTAGCTAGCTTGGAGGAAGTAGCCTAGTGTTGTGTGAATTGCATCTGTGCACTTAGCTAGCTACTATCCCACAGCCTACATTCCATATGAAATGTGACTGGCTCATGACATTTAACGTGGATGTACTGAGAAAATGCCCTCTTTTTTCCTTTTTGTTGTCACTCCTGTTGACTCCCCCATGTGGAGGCTCGTGCTCTTTGATTGGCTCAAAGTCAAGTTGTTGGCCAAGTAGAAATGTCAGGTTCGTCGCTACCGGGTCGGCACGCAGCAGGTACTGCTTTTGTTCTAGCAAGAGAAGGAACGGTCTGCCACTGTGATAAGTACCTATTGTATCATATGAAGCTTTACCGCTTGCTCTGTAATATGAGTAGTATTTTGATTTCAATAGCCTAACACATTTCTTACAAACATTTATGAATATTGAAAAATATAAACATGAATATTAAGACATTTGTTATTGAAATCAAAATACTCCTCATATTCCAGAGAAAGCGGTAAAGCTTCAATAGACACCAACTTTTGCTTTGTAGCACCTACAAATGAATAATGATGGAGTCCTAAAGGAGGCCTGGGAAAGCCCACAATTTCACAAATATTCCAACTTCAATTAATGATTTCTCAATTATACTTTAAGCTACAAATGTTAAATATATGTTGAAAATTATTTTTTCAAAGGACCCTTCTATGGATTAAATTAGGTGAAAATCCCCAAATGGTCTTTTTTGTTCTAGTTTCGTGAGGAATCATCTGATACAATGTAGGCCTAAAACAATTATTTTGAGTAGCACTCTATCCTAGCTGTTTTCAGTGAACACAAAATTGATGACAACTTCAAATGGATTAAACAATGAGTCATGACTCTGAGGATTAAAACATTTAAGAAATACAATATCAAATAAGCTAGTTTATCTAAAACTAACGCAATAGCGTCCTGCGCTTTATATTCTTGTAAGATGGCTCCGTCCCCACACAGTACACAGTGTTGGTTACATCCCTGTGGGTTTGGTGTGCCGAGTCATTTCCACTTGTGCTATGTCACTGTTATAATTAACAAGAACACAAGGTTTCATCCAATAACTTGTGACTCTCTGCCAGACCAGGATTTTGTTTAGACAGACAGCTTTTGTCAGTGGTGTAGTGGTGCCTGGAGAAGTGGGTATACTCAAATTTGTTCTACAAATTTCCAAACTTCCCACCCAGTGAAGGAAAGGTGCCCTGTGTGAAAAATTATATGACAAACAATGACATACACTCTGAATTACCTAAAATGATCGATCCCATATTGGTCTTTCACAGTCAGGCCAACCCAAGCTGTACTGTGGAAGTAGACTAATAGTAGGCCTACCGTTGAAACAGAAAAATTAACAGGTTTCAGATGTTTCCTCATTTTTCATGTTTTTACTCTCAAAGTCACACTTTCTTCACAGAAAAACAACAAAATTGTATGTTCTAAGTCCATATCAATGTTTAAACCACATCAGGAGACCACTTTTGAGGTCTGGAAAATATCTAAGAAATCTTGATTTTTGAGTGTGGTTACCCTTTTATTTAAGTGTGCAGGCAACTAGCACTGTTGTTTGGTTAGCAGTGTTTCTGTAGTACATGAGATGGAGTTTGCAAATTACACCGGCAATGCTGTATTGTGTATTGAGGCTAAATAGCACTATTAACACTAATAACACAGTAACTACACCATATTCAAATGACAATGAAAGGTGATTAACAGGACAATGGTTACAAAGTGAAACAAAACTCTTTGAAAGGGTCAGTTTATCATGTATGTGAATTACTGTGTGTTATTTTGTATGTTATAAAATCCCCATGACATTAATCTGATAGGGAAAGCGATGTGTATTTAGGCTAAACTCCAAGCAGCAGAATAGCAGCTCATTGACGTTGGGCTACGTCATGGGTGGGAGGCCTTATAGCATGATCTCATGCAAGTATTTCCCTCAAGTGACGTCAAACCAATCCCATAGGAAGTTGTACACATTTTTATTTTTTAGGGTGTAGATCAGCTTTAATATTGCAGATAGATTGTGGCATCCATTAATGTAAGTGTCTGCATAATTTCCAATACCCCATATTTATTTTTTGTAAAAATATATATAAAATATGTAGTACCAGTCAAAGGTTTGGACACACCTACTCATTCAAGGGTTTTCCTTTATTTTTACTATTTTCTACATTGTAGAATAATAGTGAAGACATCAAAACTATGAAATAACACATATGGAATCATGTAGTAACCAAAAAAGTGTTAAACAAATCAAAATAGATTTTAGATTCTTAAAATAGCCACCCTTTGCCTTGTTGACAGCTTTGCACACTCTTGGCATTCTCTCAACCAGCTTCACCTGGAATGCTTTTCCAACAGTCTTGAAGGAGTTCCCACATATGCTGAGCACTTGTTGGCTGCTTTTCCTTCACTCTGCCGTCCGACTCATCCCAAACCATCTCAACTGGGTTGAGGTCGGGAGATTGTGGAGGCCAGGTCATCTGATGCAGCACTCCATCACTCTCCTTCTTGGTAAAATAGCCCTTACACAGCCTGGAGGTGTGTTGGGTCATTGTCCTGTTGAAAAACAAATGATAGTCCCACTAAGCCCAAACCAGATGGGATGGCGTATCGTTGTAGAATGCTGTGGTAGCCGTGCTGGTTAAGTGTGCCTTGAATTCTAAATAAATAAACAGTGTCACCAGCAACACCCCCACACCATAACACCTCCTCCTCCAGGCTTTACGGTGGAAACTACACATGCGGAGATCATCCGTTCACTCACACCTCGTCTCACAAAAACACGGCGGTTGGAACCAAAAATCTCCAATTTGGACTCCAGACCAAAGGACAATTTCCTATGGTCTAATGTCCATTGCTTGTGTTTCGGCCCAAGCATGTCTCTTCTTCTTATTGGTGTCCTTTAGTAGTGGTTCTTTGCAGCAATTTGACCATGAAGGCCTGATTAACACAGTCCCCTCTGAACAGTTGATGTTGAGATGTGTCTGTGACTTGAACTCTGTGAAGCATTTATTTGGGCTGCAATTTCTGAAGCTGGTAACTCTAATGAACTTATCCTCTGCAGCAGAGGTAACGCTGGGTCTTCCATTCCTGTGGAGGTCCTCATGAGAGCCAGTTTCATGATAGTGCTCTATGGTTTTTGCGACTGCACTTGAAGAAACGTTCAAAGTACTTGAAATGTTCCGTATTGACTCACCTTCATGGCTCAAAGTAATGATGGACTGTCGTTTCTCTTCGCTTATTTGAGCTGTTCTTGCCATAATATGGACTTGGTCTTTTACCAAATAGGGCTATCTTCTGTATACCACCACTACCTTGTCACAACACAACTGATTGGCTCAAACGCATTAAGAAGGAAAGAAATTCCTCCAATTAACTTTTAACAGGGCACACCTGTTAATTGAAATGCATTCCAGGTGACTACCTCATGAAGCTGGTTGAGAGAATGCCAAGAGTGTGCAAAGCTGTCATCAAGGCAAAGGGTGGCTATTTGAAGAATCTCAAATATAAAATATATTTTGATTTGCTTAACACTTTTTTGGTTACTACATGATTCCATATGTGTTATTTCATTGTTTTGATGTCTTCACTATTATTCTACAATGTAAAAAATAGTAAAAACAAAGAAAAAACCTTGAATGAGTAGGTGTGTCCAAACTTTTGATTGGTAGTGTATATATTATACATACTATATATATTTTATGGACTTATTTTACAATAGTTATCTTTTGTTTGGACTCCTGAGTGGCGCAGTGGTCTAAGGCACTGCATCACAGTGCTAACTGTGCCACTGACTGACTCATGGACATTTTTTTGTCCCCACTGGCCTATAGATAATTACTACTCCCAAAGACAAGATTCACACATTTTAAGTTAAGGTGATACAGTGGGGAGAACAAGTATTTGATACACTGCCGATTTTGCAGGTTTTCCTACTTACAAAGCATGTAGAGGTCTGTAAATCCAGAAAATCACATTGTATGATTTTTAAGTAATTAATTTGCATTTTATTGCATGACATAAGTTTTTGATACATCAGAAAAGCAGAACTTAATATTTGGTACAGAAACCTTTGTTTGCAATTACAGAGATCATACGTTTCCTGTAGGTCTTGACCAGGATTGCACACACTGCAGCAGGGTTTTGGCCCACTCCTCCATACAGACCTTCTCCAGATCCTTCAGGTTTCGGGGCTGTTGCTGGGCTATACGGACTTTCAGCTCCCTCCAAAGATTTTCTATTGGGTTCAGGTCTGGAGACTGGCTAGGCCACTCCAGGACCTTGAGATGCTTCTTACGGAGCCACTCCTTAGTTGCCCTGGCTGTGTGTTTCGAGTTGTTGTCATGCTGGAAGACCCAGCCACGACCCATCTTCAATGCTCTTACTGAGGGAAAGAGGTTGTTGGCCAAGATCTCACGATACATGGCCCCATCCATCCTCCCCTCAATACGGTGCAGTCGTCCTGTCCCCTTTGCAGAAAAGCATCCCCAAAGAATTATGTTTCCACCTCCATGCTTCACGGTTGGGATGGTGTTCTTGGGGTTGTACTCATCCTTCTTCTTCCTCCAAACACGGCGAGTGGAGTTTAGACCAAAAAGCTCTATTTTTGTCTCATCAGACCACATGACCTTCTCCCATTCCTCCTCTTGATCATCCAGATGGTCATTGGCAAACTTCAGACGGGCCTGGACATGCGCTGGCTTGAGCAGGGGGACCTTGCGTGCGCTGCAGGATTTTAATCCATGGCGGCGTAGTGTGTTACTAATGGTTTTCTTTGAGACTGTGGTCCCAGCTCTCTTCAGGTCATTGACCAGGTCCTGCTGTGTAGTTCTGGGCTGATCCCTCACCTTCCTCATGATCATTGATGCCCCACGAGGTGAGATCTTGCATGGAGCCCCAGACCGAGGGTGATTGACCGTCATCTTTAACTTCTTCCATTTTCTAATAATTGCGCCAACAGTTGTTGCCTTCTCACCAAGCTGCTTGCCTATTGTCCTGTAGCCCATCCCAGCCTTGTGCAGGTCTACAATTGTATCCCTGATGTCCTTACACAGCTCTCTGGTCTTGGCCATTGTGGAGAGGTTGGAGTCTGTTTGATTGAGTGTGTGGACAGGTGTCTTTTATACAGGTAACGAGTTCAAACAGGTGCAGTTAATACAGGTAATGAGTGGAGAACAGGAGGGCTTCTTAAAGAAAAACTAACAGGTTTGTGAGAGCCGGAATTCTTACTGGTTGGTAGGTGATCAAATACTTATGTCATGCAATAAAATGCAAATTAATTACATAAAAATCATACAATGTGATTTTCTGGATTTTTGTTTTAGATTCCGTCTCTCACAGTTGAAGTGTACCTATGATAAAAATTACAGACCTTTACATGCTTTGTAAGTAGGAAAACCTGCAACATCGGCAGTGCATCAAATACTTGTTCTCCCCACTGTATATACCTTTAAATCACACCTGAAATTATTTATGTTTAATTGGATTATGTAGCCTAGTTGAGGAAAACCTGACATGATATATACTGTAACTTACCCACATGACATACCTACAGTATAAACTAGCTACAAATGTCTTCTGCCAGTTACAGTTGAATCACAGGTCATTCTGTAGTTCCTCAAATAGCCTACCGATTTCACTTCTAAAAATGTATTGAAGTTTTCTCTGGTAATGGGCTCTATTCTGTGGGTTCTCCTAAAATATAGTGTAAGGCAATTCATATTTTAGAAATGTGTTTTTAAAACATTGGTTAAGACATGTTGTTATAATACTTTAGCAACATAGTGATTGATTCTCATTTATCCATATTAGGCTGATATTTTGTTGATCCCTAGAGTCCTGCTTACCAGCATTTAGACAAATTGAAACAAAGATCTCACCATCAAAGGCCAATTGTGATCAGCAATAAAAATATTTAACAGGTCACACATAATTGGTAAACAACCAAAATGGCTGTGATTCACTTATTGTGTTTCTAAAGAGGGGACAAACAATGCAATTACAATATAAGAAAACAACAATACTATGTTAAACATTAGCAGAAAAAGCCTACATAGAAATGGTCTTCATCATTTGGGCAACATTTGGCAAATGTTTACAAGGCTACTGAGGTTAGCCCATAACATACGTTTAGGCTATGGCCTAGGCCTAATAGACCTAAGCCTAAATATAGGTGAAATATTAAGGCTAAATATATGTTAAATATATAGGCTAAATACAGTGCCTTCGGAAAGTATTCAGACCCCTTGACTTTTTCCAAATTGTGTTACGTTACAGCCTTATACTAAAATTGATTAAATAACACATTTTCCTCATCAATCTACACACACAATACACCATAATGACAAAGCGAAAACAGGTTTTTATAATTTTTTGAAAATGTATTAAAAATAAACAACAACAAAAAGCTTATTTACATAAGTATTCAGACCCTTTGCTATGATACATCGAAATTGAGCTCAGGTGCATCCTGTTTCCATTGATCATCCTTGAGATGTTTCTACAACTTGATTGGAGTCCACCTGTGGTAAATTCAATTTATTGGACATGATTTGGAAAGGCACACACCTGTCTATATAAGGTCCCACATTTGACAGTACATGTCAGAGTAAAAACCAAGCCATGAGGTCGAAGGAATTGGAGGGATGTAGCTCAGTTGGTAGAGCATGGCGTTTGCAACGCCAGGGTTGTGGGTTCAATTCCCACGGGGGGCCAGTATGAAAAATAAAATAATGTATGCACTCACTAACTGTAAGTCGCTCTGGATAAGAGCGTCTGCTAAATGACTAAAATGTAAATGTAAATGAATTGTCCGTAGAGCTCCGAGACAGGATTGTGTCGAAGCACAGATCTGGGGAAGGGTACCAAAAAATGTCTGCAGCATTGAAGGTCCCCAAGATCACTGTGACCTCCATTATTAAATGGAAGAAGTTTGGAACCACCAAGACTCTTCCTAGAGCTGGCCGCCCGGGCCAAACTGAGCAATCGGGGGAGAAGGGCCTTGGTCAGGAAGGTGACCAAGAACCCGATGGTCACTCTGACAGAGCTCCAGAGTTCCTCTGTTTAGACAGGAGAACCTTCCAGAAGGACAACCATCTCTGCAGCACTCCACCAATCAGGCCTTTATGGTAGAGTGGTCAGATGGAAGCCACTCCTCAGTAAAAGGCACTTGACAGCCTGCTTGGAGTTTGCCAAAAGGCACCTAATGACTCTCAGACCATGAGAAACAAGATTCTCTGGTCTGATGAAACCAAGATTGAACTATTTGGCCTGAATGCCAAGCGTCACATCTGGAGAAAACCTGGCACCGTCCCTACGGTGAAGCATGGTGGTGGCAGCATCATGCTGTGGGGATGTTTTTCAGCGACAGGGACTGTGAGACTAGTCAGGATCGAGGGAAAGATGAACGGAGAAAAGTACAGCGAGATCCTTGATGAAAACCTGCTCCAGAGCGCTCAGGACCTCAGACGGGGGCGAAGGTTCACCTTCCAACAGGACAACAACCCTAAGCACACAGCCAAGACAATGCAGGAGTGGCTATGGGACAAGTCTCTGAATGTCCTTTAGTGGCCCAGCCAGAGGCCGGACTTGAACCCTATCTAACATTTCTGGAGAGACCTGAAAATAGCTGTGCAGCGACGCTCCCCATTCAACCTGACAGAGCTTGAGAGGATCTGCAGAGAACAATTGGAGAAACTCCCCAAATACAGGTGTGCCAAGCTTGTAGCATCATACCCAAGAAGACTCAAAGCTGTAATCGCTGCCAAAGGTGCTTCAACAAAGTAGTGAGTAAAGGGTCTGAATACTTATGTAAATGTGATATTTCCGTTTTTTATTTTTAATACATTTGCAAAAAAATCTAAAAACCTGTTTTTGCTTTGTCATTATGGGGTATATGTAGATTGATGAAGGGAAAAAACAATTTAATCCATTTTAGAATTAGACTGTAACGTAACAAAATGTGGAAAAAGTCAAGGGGTCTGAATACTTTCCGAATGCACTGTATAGGTTAAATCACCCCAAGTCTTGAAAGGTTGTTCACACGGGCCTAACTGAAATAGATACGGGCCCCGTGTAGCTCAGTTGGTAGAGCATGGCGCTTGCAACGCTAGGTTTGTGGGTTCGATTCCCAAGGGGGGCCAGTATGAAAAAAAAGAATAAAAAAACAAAACAAAATGTATGCACTTACTAACTGTAAGTCACTCTGGATAAGAGTGTTGGCTAAATGACTAAAATGTCAATGTAATACATCCTACTGCATGTAATTGAATGTACAGTAGGTATTCAATGACGATAACTAAAGTTAATGTACACAACATAGTGAACACAGTGACATCTACTGATCTGAATTTCGACTTGGCACTGATGAGGTACTTTATGTAATATCATAAACCAACATAACAGAATTGTCCTGCTCATTGAGGACTAGGCCTACTTCCAGAAACAGAAGGACATGTCAGTCCCCTTGTACAACACAGAATAAAGTGTAAATATAGATGTTATTCACAGTCATGGCTGCTCAAGTGTAATAGCTTAAGAACTTGTTGTTGATAGTTAACTTGGAAATGAAAATGTCCATTACAAGCATTTAATGCATTGTATGCTGTATGTATTACAATGTAATTGTATCCATTTCATAGGCTATTACAGTAGGCTCATACTATACGTCATCCTTACTGACGACAACCTATAGGATTGGTGGTATTTTGTGACCTGAAATCTTAAGTAACATACATAATGTTACTGAGAGAGCTATTGAGCCTGATTTGATAGCGTAAGTGTGTATACTTGAAAAATAAGAAAAACATCAACAACATACAGTGGGGAAAAAAAGTATTTAGTCAGCCACCAATTGTGCAAGTTCTCCCACTTAAAAAGATGAGAGAGGCCTGTAATTTTCATCATAGGTACACGTCAACTATGACAGACAAAATGACAAAAAGAAATCCTGAAAATCACATTGTAGGATTTGTAATGAATTTATTTGCAAATGATGGTGGGAAATAAGTATTTGGTCAAAAACAAAAGTTTCTCAATACTTTGTTATATACCCTTTGTTGGCAATGACACAGGTCAAACGTTTTCTGTAAGTCTTCACAAGGTTTTCACACACTGTTGCTGGTATTTTGGCCCATTCCTCCATGCAGATCTCCTCTAGAGCAGTGATGTTTTGGGGCTGTCGCTGGGCAACACGGACTTTCAACTCCCTCTAAAGATTTTCTATGGGGTTGAGATCTGGAGACTGGCTAGGCCACTCCAGGACCTTGAAATGCTTCTTAAGAAGCCACTCCTTCGTTGCCCGGTCGGTGTGTTTGGGATCATTGTCATGCTGAAAGACCCAGCCACGTTTCATCTTCAATGCCCTTGCTGATGGAAGGAGGTTTTCACTCAAAATCTCACGATACATGGCCCCATTCATTCTTTCCTTTACACGGATCAGTCGTCCTGGTCCCTTTGCAGAAAAACAGCCCCAAAGCATGATGTTTCCACCCCCATGCTTCACAGTAGGTATGGTGTTCTTTGGATGCAACTCAGCATTCTTTGTCCTCCAAACACGACGAGTTGAGTTTTTACCAAAAAGTTCTATTTTGGTTTCATCTGACCATATGACATTCTCCCAATCCTCTTCTGGATCATCCAAATGCACTCTAGCAAACTTCAGACGGGCCTGGACATGTACTGGCTTAAGCAGGGGGACACGTCTGGCACTGCAGGATTTGAGTCCCTGGCGGCGTAGTGTGTTACTGATGGTAGGCTTTGTTACTTTGGTCCCAGCTCTCTGCAGGTCATTCACTAGGTCCCCCCGTGTGGTTCTGGGATTTTTGCTCACCGTTCTTGTGATCATTTTGACCCCATGGGGTGAGATCTTGCGTGGAGCCCCAGATCCAGGGAGATTATCAGTGGTCTTGTATGTCTTCCATTTCCTAATAATTGCTCCCACAGTTGATTTCTTCAAACCAAGCTATTGCAGATTCAGTCTTCCCAGCCTGGTGCAGGTCTACAATTTTGTTTCTGGTGTCCTTTGACAGCTCTTTGGTCTTGGCCATAGTGGAGTTTGGAGTGTGACTGTTTGAGGTTGTGGACAGGTGTCTTTTATACTGATAACAAGTTCAAACAGGTGCCATTAATACAGGTAACGAGTGGAGGACAGAGGAGCCTCTTATAGAAGAAGTTACAGGTCTGTGTGGGCCAGAAATCTTGCTTGTTTGTAGGTGACCAAATACTTATTTTCCACCATAATTTGCAAATAAATTCATAAAAAATCCTACAATGTGATTTTCTGGAAAAAAAAGTCTAAATTTGTCTGTCATAGTTGACGTGTACCAATGACGAAAATTACAGGCCTCTCTCATCTTTTTAAGTGGGAGAACTTGCACAATTGGTGGCTGACTAAATACTTTTCCCCCCCACTGTATCTAAAGGACTAGTTTGTAGCCTAGGGCCTATAACATATTGTGCATTAGGCTACACCACACTTGGTAAAACTGCCAATCTTGGTTTATGAAACAAAAATAGGACTATATGATTGGAGCACTGAGGTA